TGCTTAGAAACTTTTTTCTAAAAAGTTAATGGACAAACTAACTTTTCTGAGAGATTAAAATACTGTTTCCATTAAATAGGCATTTTTGTGTGCGGGCTTTTTTTTTTTTTGAGACGGAGTTTTCGCTCTTGTTACCCAGGCTGGAGTGCAATGGCGTGATCTCGGCTCCCCGCAATCTCCGCCTCCTGGGTTCAGGCAATTCTCCTGCCTCAGCCTCCTGAGTAGCTTGGATTACAGGCATGTGCCACCATGCCCAGCTAATTTTTTGTATTTTTAGTAGAGACGGGGTTTCACCATGTTGACCAGGATGGTCTCGATCTCTTGACCTTGTGAGCCACCCGCCTCGGCCTCCCAAAGTGCTGGGATTACAGGCTTGAACCACCGCGCCCGGCCTTTTTTTTTTTTTTTAAGTTTGATTGGAGGCAAGAAGTAGGAGGAATATCCTCAGAGAATGGCAGCTTTGAGGCTGCTGTAAAGATTCTTTCTTTTTTTTTTTTTTTAAAGAGGAGGCTCACTATGTTGCCCAAACTGGAGTGCAGTGGCTATTCACAGGCGCAATCCCACTATCGATCAGCACCGGAGTTTTGACCTGCTCTGTTTCCAACCTGGACTGGTTCACCCCTCCTTAGGCAACCTTGTGGTCCCCCACTCCTGGGAGGTCATCACATTGATGTCAAACTTAGTACAGACACCCAATCAGCATAGCGCACTACAGCCTAGAACTCCTGGGCTCAAGCAATTCTCCCACCTCAGCCTTCCAAGTAGCTGGGACTACAGGCACGCTCCACCACCATGCCCGGCAAGATTCTTTATGTCTCTTATAAATTTATAATTTATAAAATCTAAAATCTTAGAATTGGAAAGAACTTAAGAGATAATTTAGTTTAAACTTGGCCTCATTTTACAGAGAAGGAAACCAGATCTAACAGAGGAAATGTTTTGCCCAAGGTAAAACTCAGGTTTCTGAACTCCCAGATGACAAATAATACATTATTAATTACAAATAACTATATATAACTTCTGTTTGAGAATGCCTTTAGGTAGTAACCTCTAAAATAGCCACATCAGCATCTTTCTGAGCCAGTTCCTGAATACCCACTTCGTGTCTGATTCCTACAATCCAATGCAGTATACATTTTACATAGACTTGGTCTGGCAATGAGGAAACAGCATTCATTTTCAATCTTTGGTCTCAGCATAATTTGGTATATAACACTGCAGTCGATTATACCCTGTAAAGCTTTAAAGGGATGGTATTCCAAGAATTAGTACTAGTCTGAAAAACCAAATGCTTTGTTTCCCTTTCACTTTTTTACACATCCCTGGTTCCTGGGGGTAAAATAAGTGTTTTCACTCTAATGGGTGCAGTGGAGAGAGGCATTCTAAGTGGAAGGAAGAGCATATACAAAAGCCTAGAGGCCTCCTGAGACATCATGAGATGTTTGGGGCCCTTCAAGCAGTTGCTATGACTAGAGCATGTTGGCCCCACAGAGAGCTGAGTCAAGAGCCAGACCTCCTCTACTCTGCATACCTTGAACTTCAGCTTAAAGGCAATGGGGAGCTATTTAAGGATTTATAGCAGAGAAATTACACAAATACAGTTGCTTTTAATTATTGTTAATTTTTTTTTTTTTAGACAGGGTCTTGCTCTGTCACCCAGCCTGGACTACACTGGCGTAATCTCAGCTCACTGCAATCACAGACTCCCCGACATGTTGAAGCAATTCTCCTGCCTCAGCTTTCAGAGTGCCTGGGATTACAGGTGTGCGCCACCACACCCGGCTAATTCTGGTATTTTTAGTAGAAATGGAGATTTCACCATGTTGGCCAGGGTGGTCTCAAACTCCTGACCTCAGGTGATCTATCTGCCTAGGCCTCCCTCAGTGCTGTGATTACAGGCATGAGCCATGGTGCCTGGCTGGTTTTAATTATTTTGATCACACAGATAATATATGAATACATTTTAATATAAACTCAACTATTAAATCCAAAGTCAAAGTTCTTCACCACTCCCTCCACCCCCACATCCCCAGGTCCTCCTTGGAGGTAATCACTCTGCTGCTTGGTACATATCTCTCCCAACATTTAAAAAAGTGCATTCACAGGCCGGGCACGGTGGCTCAAGCCTGTAATCCCAGCACTTTGGGAGGCCGAGGCGGGTGGATCACGAGGTCAAGAGATCGAGACCATCCTGGTCAACATGCTGAAACTCCGTCTCTACTAAAAATACAAAAAATTAGCTGGGCATGGTGGCGCGTGCCTGTAATCCCAGCTACTAGGGAGGCTGAGGCAGGAGAACTGCCTGAACCCAGGAGGCAGAGGTTGCAGTGAGCCGAGATCGCGCTATTGCACTCCAGCCTGGGTAACAAGAGCGAAACTCCGTCTCAAAAAAAGAAAAAGTGCATTCACTTATGTATACGTATGCATAGAGATATATATGGGATTATCTTGCGTGTTTTCAAACAAATATCATCCTGTCAAAAGATAAATTAAGAGGGATAGAGCTTGGGTTTGGGTAATTCTGAGAGCCAGCTGGCCATCACTTTACTTTGCTCGGTGTTCACAGCATATTTTGTGAACATTCCAGTTTTTCAGTGAGATTCTTACAGATAAGCTGGTGCTGTGGGAACCATCTGGCCGACCCCAGTCACAACAGCTGCAAATCCTTACAGCCATGTCCACAAGGCCAGCCTGCACTGGGACCTGCCTGGGTCAAAAATTTGCTGCCTCCATGTGTGCATTACAGTTCAGCTGGAATTCACAGAATTAAATGTTCTTTGTTGGATTAGGAAATGGACAGTGTGCTTGCCATGTGTTATGGAACAACTGAGGACACAGACATGACCATGGTTTCCTTTTCTAAGGGAAACAATGAAAACATTTATTATTTTTGAATTGGTCTACATGGTAATAAAAATTGATATGTAGCCGGGCGCGGCGGCTCAAGCCTGTAATCCCAGCACTTTGGGAGGCCGAGGCGGGTGGATCATGAGGTCGAGAGATCGAGACTATCCTGGTCAACATGGTGAAACCCCGTCTCTACTAAAAATACAAAAAATTAGCTGGGCGTGGTGGCACGTGCCTGTAATCCCAGCTACTCAGGAGGCTGAGGCAGGAGAACTGCCTGAACCCAGGAGGCGGAGGTTGCGGTGAGCAGAGATCGCGCCATTGCACTCCAGCCTGGGAAACAAGAGCGAAACTCCGTCTCAAAAAAAAAAAAAAAAACAGAAAGAAATGTGGAAATGTGGATAGATTTATTTATCCCACTCATTAATTCATTCAATATGCTTTGGAGGGGGGAGCGGAGATGATATCTCACCTTGTCACCCAGGATGTGGTGCAGTGGCTTTGACCTCCTGGGCTTAACAGATTCTCCCACCTCAGCCTCCCCAGTAGCTGAGACTAACAGCATGAGCCACCACGCCCAGCTAATTTGGGTTTTTTTTTTTTTTGCAGAGACAGGGTCTTCCATGTTATCCAGGCTGGCCTCAAACTCCTAGGCTCAAGCAATCCATCCACCTTGACCTCCCAAACTGCTGGGATTACAATCAATACACATTTAGTACCTATTATTTATGGGGTACATCATGTGCTAAGGTGCCAGTTGAATCACTCTATTCCCTTTGCTCTAGACTGAAGCTTTGATACCACCTGGAAAAACAGACAACTAATGTAATGAGTATCCATAACTAGTTTTACAGACAATCAGCAGTTTGCAAATTATTTCACCCATTAAATGACTCCAAATATTGGAGCAAAGGCTTCCAAGTTAAAATAGTCCATGGAAACATGTTCTATATTATGTGGTGCTTACAATAAAAGATGACTTCCTGCGACTTATTTGCAACTCCGAAAGAGGTGATTTAGTCTGTCACGGTGCTCTTGGGAAATGCTTTTGGGATTTGTCCAAGTTCTCAAGTGGAACTCAAGGGTCCTGAGCCAGAAGACATAAGTTATAACTAAGTAGGATGCAAGTGAATTGGAATTTGCCCCGAACATAATGCCATAAACAGTTGTCTAGGTAAGAGCAAAGTATACAGGCCCTAAAACAGGGTACAAGCTTTCCCTAAAACAGAAAGGCACTTACAACAGGGCTTTGTTCCAGGATCCCTAAAAAAATTTCAAACAAGGAGATTTACATGTTATTCACCTTATCATACATTATTTCAGTGCAAACCTAGAAATATTTTACAAAAAAAATGTATTTGGAAGAATTTGTGAATATTTGATGATTTTTTGAAATAAATACAATTTATTTTATTTTATAATAAATTACTTTTTAATGAAATTATTTTAAAAAGGAGTGACGTCTGCAACACCTTAAGAACAATGACTATACATGTATTAATACAGTATTCTGATTTTAAGGGGAAAGTGATGAAGGAACGGGAAGCTGGGTCTGCGTGTGTTCCCAGAAGGCCCCAGAACGCCAGCCCAAGTCTGAAAAGGGAAGTGGGAGCTTTGTGTCGAGGACTACGGAGAGCGCCTACGGTTGTGCTAAAGGAAAACAATGTTCCTAAGAGTATACAAACCCTGTTCACCAAAGCGTGGAACGCAAGTGTCCCTCCAAGCTGTACACGACCGAAAGAACGCGAACTGAAAGCAAAAGCAGGTCCCAAGAGGCCAGGCACCCCCTCCTCCTGGGTACTCACGTCAGACAGGAGAACTATGGCTGGCCCAGAGAGAACTCAGCTCTTGGCACACGCCAGCCCCGCCGAAGCTCTAAGGGAGGCTACCCCCGCGCCCGTCGCCGTGGCAACCGCCGGAGTCACGCAGCCCCGCCCCTTCCTCGAGACGTGGCCCCGCCCCCTCCGAACCCGGAAGCGGCAGTCTCGCGCCCGCTGAGCGGCGGTTCGGGAGGAGGGAGCGCGCCGGCCCAAGCTCGCTGGGCCCCGCGCCCCGCCCCTCAAAGGCAGGCCTCCGGCGCGCTCCGCTCACAGCCCGCGAGTCCCGAGCGCTCAGCTGCCTGCAGCTACGCGGGCCCAGTCGCCTCCACGGCCCGCGCTCGTACTGGAGAGAAGAGCGGCCTCCGGAAGGAGGGGAAGGGACGTGGGGGCGGCCACGGCAGGTGAGGGTGGCGAAGCCCTGGGAAGCAGCTGTGTGGGTGGGTGTGCGAGGTTGTAGTGTGTGTGTAGCGCGCGGCTGCTTCGGTTGTTGTGACTTTGTGAGTGTGATCTGAGTGGGCCGGTCCATGTGACCATGCACGTGATCACATGCCCTTGTGAGTGTGTGTCTGAGGCCCAGTCTGGGCTGTGGGGTGGTCGATGTGCTTGTGACCCTGCCTTTGTGTGGCTGTCAACGATGGGACTGGCGGAGAGTTGTGTGCGAGTTTTCAGCAGGAGGTGGAGGCGGCAGAGGGCTTAACCGGGGCATCCTCCTGTAAACCCATCCTGGGGTTACACGACTGCCGCCCAGGAACATTTTTTTTTCCCCAGCAAACTTTTAAGAACTCTGAACAGAGGCCAGTAATTTTGGAGACAGCACCTCGGTCTGAAAGTGACAGATGTCTCTGTCGTTGCTGAGTATGGGCCAGGTTGTGAGGTTTGTAAACCGGGGATGAGGAACTGAGCAGGGCCGGAGTGTCCCATTTTTCCTTTTCTCGTTTTCATGGGGAGTTACAAGTTAGACATTTATGCTGCTGCTTTGTCTCCACCTACAATGGTTCAGCTCCTTTTGGCACAAAGATTCAACAAACTGAGGAGTAACTTAATAGCTGTGTCCAGATTCCAAAAGCTTCTATACGAAGATCATGAGAAGAGATGGCCCAGATGTCAGGTAGGCAGCTTTTCCTCCCGTCAGGTTTAGAGATAATGCAATAGATTCCTGAAGAAAAGAGGGATAGATCTCCCCTGAAGAGATCTAAGAAAAGAATTGCTATGTACTTCTGTGGTGAGGGATGGAGACGTGCATTAAAAAACCAGTTGCATCACCCAGAGACTCTCAGCGTCTAATATTTTGTTATGGCTGGTGTTAATAATCACGGATTGTCCAAAATGAACGTCAACTATAGATTGAAATAAAGTAGCAGAAACCTCTGACTAGTTAAGCTCCTTATGTGACTTAAATGTTGGTAAAGGTGATTTTTGTTGGCTTTAAAGTGGTAGATTCTGTTGAAGCCCTGAGGAATAGGGGCAGAGTCACAACTGGCAATTGTTGTTCTGGGATGTTTTTGTTTTTTGTTTTTTGTTTTTCGTTTTTAAGATGGAGTCTTGCTCTGTCACCCAAGCTGGTGTGCAGTAGCACAATCTCGGTTTACTGCAACCTCCAACACCCGGGTTCAAGTGATTCTCCTGCCTCAGCCTCCTCCTGAATAGCTGGGATTATAGGTGCCCGCCACCGTGCCCAGCTAATTTTTGTATTTTTAGTAGAGATGGGGTTTCACCATGTTGGCCAGGCTGGTCTCAAACTCCTGACCTCAGGTGATCCACCCGATTTGGCTTCCCAAAGTGCTGGGATTACAGCACCCAGCCACAACTGGCAGTTTTATCGTCCAGAAGCAGAAGGGACAGAGAAGACTGGGAGTCCAGAGCACACCCTAAAGAGGGATTTCCTTAGGCAAGATTAAGGCTTACCTCATGGCCCTTTTCCCACCAGCATGAACAGGTGCTTTTGTTTTTGTGAAGAACAAAATCATGAGAGATCAAATCAGTTTTGAGCTCACAGTCCACATTCTTTCTTATTCAGTACTGATCAGTTTGATCACAATCTCAGTTAACCTTCTTTGCCATATACAGAATATTCCTCTTATGACTTGGAAAAATATCACCCTTTGGTGGATGAAATTAGCTAGAAGAACAAACTTTTCTATTCATACCATCCACAGCTGCTTTCCCTTTGCAGCAGTGAGGTTTTTTTTTCACTTAGACGTCAGTTGGTCAGATGCAACATTTGGTATCCATTTTACCTTTCATGTACTGCCAAACTAGCTCAAGTGTTAAAATCACTTGTGACTACAGAAATTTAGTTACAGCGGAGTGGAATCTCTCCATCTTGCAAGATTACTTATAACACATTGGCTTACTGAGGTGGTTGTGAATTACTCTGAAGACTATTGGTAAGGAACATCTTTCTACTTACTGCTATGGGAAAGAAGAGACGACTCTGTAAATACGTGTGCCTGCGTATGGGTGTATTTGTACGGTGGTTTTGTTTGTGCATTGCAAGTGATTCCAAAGCTATGAATGATTTCTTTTATCTCGTTTGGTGACTCTAGAAACACACTTTCTGGTTTTAGTTTGCTAAGGTGTTTTATAAATCTGTTGAGTAGATGTTATTTGCTAAACTTGTTTTTTTCTTTCCTTTAAAGTAGATTGTTTCTAATAACGCAATACTAGGAAATGTCTCCATTAAGAAGTATTTAGATGATATAGGAGTATTTCAAGTCTGTCCAGGTAGAAAGTATTCCAGAATTAAGTATATGTGCTGGTTCCTTTCAATTAAAAGTTATAATCAGCTTAGAGAAAGCCTATAGTTAAAATGGCTTTTTTTTTTTTTTTTTTTTTTGAGATGGAGTCTTGCTCCATCGCCCAGGCTGGAGTGCAATGATACAATCTCAGCTCACTGCAACCTCCGCCTCCCAGGTTCAAGCGATTCTCCTGCCCCAGCCTCTCAAGTAGTTGGGATTACAGGCATCTACCACCAGGCCTGGCTAATTTTTATTGTATTTTCAGTAGAAATGGAATTTTGCCGTGTTGGTCAGGCTGATCTTGAACTCCTGACCTCAGGTGATCCACCTGCCTGGGCTTCCCAAAGTGCTAGGATTACAGGTGTGAGCCACCACACCCAGCAAGGTTTTTTAACATATTATTATTATTATTTGAAATGGAGTCTTGCTCTGTCACCCAGGCTGGAGTGCAGTGGTGTGATCTTGGCTCCCTGCAACCTCTGCCTCCCAGGTTCAAATGATTCTCCTGCCTTAGCCTCCCAAGTAGCTGAGACTATAGGTGCATGCCACCACACCAAGCTAATTTTTGTATTTTTAGTGGAGACAGAGTTTTGCTCTGTTAGCCAGGCAGGTCTTGAACTCCTGACTTTGTGATTTGCCTGCCTTGGACTCCCAAAGTGCTGGGATTACAGGCGTGAGCCACTGCACCTGGCCTTAACATATTAGTATTTAAGATAAAATGGATATGCAAAGAATTATTTTCTTTATTCAGTGTTAATAACTATATTTAAGCACACTGATTTTTAGCATTAGACTGGCTGATGATTTTCTTGGTACTTAAAAGCAACTTAGATTTTAACAAACTTCTCTAAAAGTACCATTTTAGCTTTGAGAGAAGAGATGATTATTACAATGTCAAGGTTGTAAACCAAATTTAGCATTAGAATGTCTACATCTGCTGTCTCCTTGGGGTTCAGCTTAGTACGTCTCCAAGGTCACAGTTGAGTCTACTGAGGGCTCTCTGTTCCTGAGGGAGCAGATCTCAAGGGCCACCAAGGAAGAGTCCCTTTGAGTTTAGAATCCCCTGCTCCTTGCCAGTTCAGATAACTCTCTCCGAAATGACAGTTCAGAGTCAGCCCGGGAGTTAGGTCCTGGAGTCTCACCTCATCTTCGCCCTGCTAGGATCAAGGCCCTTGCTCTTGAGGTAGAAGAGGTGGTACAAAGCAAATATTTGAATCCTTCCAGGTGGAATTTCCTCACTTGGCAATAAGAATCTGCAACAGGGAACTATAATTTCAGTTTCCTGTTATGACATAGCACTGATGCCTGAGCAAAGCGGGGCAGCCTTTTAGTTGAAGATGTTCAGCTAGGACAAAGCTCACAGTTGCCAGGTTTAGAAATCAACAGATAATGCCTGCTATGTGCCAAGCACTGTTCTAAGCTTTGGGGACACAGTGGTTCACTTGAACCTGGGAGTCATAGATGAGAAAACAAACCCAAAAAGGATCATGACTTATCTAAGGTCACAGAACTAGGAAAACTGGAAGTCACTAAGCTCACAACAAAGACTACACATTTTTTCCTAAAGGCAAATGTTTCATTATGTTGCTAGTTATAGTGCCTTCAAGTTTACGTTATAGATCTTTCAGAGGACATGTGTAACTTAATCACATTGATATGATACAGGCAAATTTGCCTGTATTTTGTATTAAGAACTACATGTGAATTTCTGAAGTTATGTTCCATTACGGTTAGACTTAATAGTGTACTGTGAATTTATTAGGAAGCAGGCTTAATTTAAACTTCTTTCTCTAGGCTGAGTGTAGTAGCTCACACATGTAGTCCCAGCATTTTGGGAGGCAAGATGGGAGGATTGCTTGAGCCCAGGAATTCAAAACCAGCATGGGCAACATAGCGAGACCCCCATATCTACAAAAATAAGAAATTAGCCTGTGGTGGTGGTGTGCGCCCATTGTCTCAGCTACTCAGGAGGCTGAGGTTGGGATAAGTGCTTGAGCCTCAGAGGTCAAAGCTGCAGTGAGATGTGACTGTGCCACTGCACTGTAGCCTGGACAACAGAGCAAGACTCTGTCTCAAAAATTAAAAAATATAAACTCCTTTCTCTAGCATGGGCTATTCCCTATAATCAGACGGGAGCATCTTTATTAAATGGAGTCTTAAGGTAATTTCAAAAGTTAGCTGATGGCACTGCAGTTGAGAACTAAGACAGGAAGTCTGGTGTCAGAAAAGGCTGTCTCACATCTGGTCCTAGCATTGTTATGTGGTCTCAGGTAAGTCATTTAAATTTTCTAGACCAGATTTCTCTTCTGGAAGAACTAAAGGTGTTAGAATAATTTGTTTAAGAGCCCTTCTGGTGGGCGAGCGTGATGACTCACACCTGTAATCCCAGCACTTTGGGAGACCGAAGCAGGAGGATCACCTGAGGTCAGGAGTTTGAGACCAGCCTGGCCAACATGGTGAAACCCTGACTCTACTAAAAACACAAAAATAAGCTGGGAGTGGTGGTGGGTGCCTGTAATTTCAGCTATTCAGGAGGCTGAGGCAGAAGAATCATTTGAACTTGGGAGGTGGAGGTTGCAGTGAGCCAAGATCACGCCATTGCATTCCAGCCTGGGCAACAAGAGCCTCAAAAAAAAAAAAAAAGAAAGAAAGAAAGAAAGAAAAGAGAGCCCTTCTGATTCTGTGATGGTAGTATTTCACCAAATTGTTTTCTGTAGTTTGCCAGATTCCTTGATTTTCCTTTTTAAAGTGTTATTGGTATAGCTAGGTCAGACTCTACATTTAGTTCTGATGTAAACGTGAATTCTTGACGTGAAATATCACATGCTTTTATTTCAGGGTTAACCTCCATTTCAGCTAATCATGGGAGAGATTAAAGTCTCTCCTGATTATAACTGGTTTAGAGGTTCAGTTCCCCTTAAAAAGGTATGTATGGTTTTACTATACCTCTTATTTGCAAAATCTTGTATTGTTTTTGTGTGTGATTTAGATGTCATGTCTTAGTAGTGTTTGAGAGTAAAGGTTACTGCCAAGTATCATGACTCTGGGTTGCAGAGGGTGAAGTTCAAGTACAGTCAACCTTTGAGACTCATTTTAGAGTGAAGAGTGAAAGCAGGTATAACTGTACTCATTTTATTTATTTATTTATTCATTCATTCATTCATTCATTCGTTTATTTTTGAGATGGAGTCTCTCTCTGGCACCCAGGCTGGAGTGCAGTGCACTGCACAATCTCGGCTCACTGCTACCTCTGCTTCCCAGGTTCAAGTGATTTTCCTCAGTCTCCCAAGTAGCTGGGATTACAGGCGCCCAGCACCATGCCAGGCTAATATTTATGTTTTTGGTAGAGGCAGAGTTTCACCATGTTGGCCAGGCTGGTATCAAACTCCTGACCACAAATGATCCGCCTGCCTTGCCTCCCAAAGTGCCCAAACTGTACTCATTTTATAATTGCTTACGTATTCAAGCAAGCAGGTATGTGTGTACTCTTCTTTATAGTTTAGTGGAAAGTTTACAGCAACTACATAGCAAGTACAGTCAGATTATATTCCTGTTCCTCAGATTTAAGACTGGGGTCACATTATAGAGACTCTGTTTGCAATGACATACTCATTCTGCCACAGTAACCTCTGGAAGCTTTATTTTCCTGGGATGTTTGAAAACCCTAAACACTCAGTTGAGTGTTAACTTTGCATTCCATATTAATCCCAGATGTTTGGGGATCACACTAGACAAAGGCAGTTCAAGTCACTGAGTAGAATAAAATCTTTGCTAATTCCCTTGCAGAAGTATTAGAATACTGTGATATTAAGATCATTTGCAGCTGATTGTGATGGCTCACACCTGTAATCCTAGCACTTTGGAGACCTAGGTAGGAGGATCACTTGATGGCAAGAGTTTGAGATCAGCCTAGGCAACATAGCGAGACCCTTTCTCTATTTAAAAAAATGAAAAAATTAGCCAGCTATGGTGGTATGTGCCTATAATCCCAGCACTTTGGAAGGCTGAAGCAGGAGGATTGCTTGAGCCTAGGAGTTTCAGACCAACCTGGGCAATATGATGAGCCCCTGTCTCTACAAACTTGAAAAAATTAACTGGGCTTGTTGGTGCATGCCTGTAGTCCCAGATACTCAGGAGGCTGAGATGGGAGGATTGCTTAAGCCCAGGAAGTCAAGGCTGCAGTGAGCTGTGATCGTGCCACTGCACTCCAGCCTGGGTGACAGAGCCAGACTCTGTCAAAAAAAAAAAAAAAAAAAAAGAACAGTAAAAATGTGAGTGGCAAAATACACAGGGCAAGAGCATGAGTGTGAGATACATTGTCACCATCTATAACTTGGGCAAGTCCAAAGGGAACTGTTAGGCCTCTCTAGACTTTGCCTTGCTCCATTTGTCTGCTCCTAGTGATGCCAGTGACCCTGGCTAGTGTGCTGCCACCCACAGAGTGACACTGTGGAGTCCACTGCCCTGCTAATGAGGAGCTCTCAGAAAGAAAGAGCCTGGAGACCTTAATTTTTTTTTAATACAAAAGTAAAATAAATACTGATTTGCATTGGCAAATGTTTAAGCAGTTAATATACTTTTCTAAATACCACCAAAAGTCAGAGAAAACAAAAACTAAACTAGGATGCAGTGAATAATAATAATAGCTAATACTTCTAGAACACTTAACATCTGCCAGACTCTCTGCTGAGCATTTGAGTTGCTTCATCTTGCCTTTTTTTTTTTTTTTTTTTTTTGAGACGGAGTTTCGCTCTTGTTACCCTGGCTGGAGTGCAATGGCACGATCTCGGCTCACCGCAACCTCCGCCTCCTGGGTTCAGGCAATTCTCCTGCCTCAGCCTCCTGAGTAGCTGGGATTACAGGCACACGCCACCCATGCCCAGCTAATTTTTTGTATTTTGAGTAGAGACGGGGTTTCACCATGTTGACCAGGATGGTCTCGATCTCTTGACCTCGTGATCCACCCGTCTCGGCCTCCCAAAGTGCTGGGATTACAGGCTTGAGCCACCGCGCCTGGCCTTTTTTTTTTTTTTTTAAAGAGACAGGATTTACCTCTGTTGCTCAGGCTGGAGTGCTGTGTGATCATATGGCTCAGTGCAACCTTGAACTCCTGGGCTCAAGCAATTGTGTCTCAGCCTCCCAAGCAGCTGAGACTATAGGTGTGTACCACCACACATGGCTGATTTTTTCATTTTTCATCTTGCTGTGTTGCCCAAGTTGGTCTTGAACTCCTGGCCTCAAGCAATTCTACCTTTTGCCACCCAAAAGCACTGAGATTACAGTCATGAGCCATCACACCTGGCCCTCAACATTTTTTTTTTTTTTAACACAGATCCTCGCTCTGTTGCCAGGCTGAAGTGCAGTGGTGCTATCCCTGCCCACTGCAACCTCCACCTGCCGGGTTCAAGCGATTCTCCTGCCTCAGCCTCCTGAGTAGCTGAGACTACAGCCACATGCCACTATGCTCAACCAATTTTTGTATTTTTAGGAGAGATGGGGTTTCACCATGTTGGCCAGAGTGGTCTTGATTACTTGACCTTGTGATTCACCCACCTCAGCCTCCAAAGGGCTGGGATTACAGGCATGAGCCACCACGCTTACCTTTTTTTGTTGTTGTTTTTCATTTTGTTTGTTTTTTGAGGCAGAGTCTTGCTCTGTTGCTTAGGCTGGAGTGTTTTTTGAGGCAGAGTCTTGCTCTCTTGCTTAGGCTGGAGTGCAGTGGCCAGATCTCGGCTCACTGCAACCTCTGCCTCCTGCGTTTAAGCAATTCTCCTGCCTCAGCCTCCCCAGTAGCTGGGATTACTGGTACATGCCACCACATCCAAGTAATTTTTGTTTTTTTTTTTTTTTTTTTTTTTTTTGAGACGGAGTTTCGCTCTTGTTGCCCAGGCTGGAGTGCAATGGCGCGATCTCGGCTCACCGCAACCTCCGCCTCCTGGGTTCAGGCAATTCTCCTGCCTCAGCCTCCTGAGTAGCTGGGATTACAGGCACACGCCACCATGCCCAGCTAATTTTTAGTATTTTTAGTAGAGACGGGGTTTCACCATGTTGACCGGGATGGTCTCGATCTCTTGACCTCGTGATCCACCCGCCTCGGCCTCCCAAAGTGCTGGGATTACAGGCTTGAGCCACTGCGCCCGGCTAATTTTTGTATTTTTAGTAGAGATGGGGTTTCACCATGTTGGCCAGGCTGGTTTCAAACTTCTGACCTCAGGTGATCTGCCCACCTGGCCTCCCAAAGTGGTGGGATTACAGGTGTGAGCCACCTGGCCCAGCCCCCTTAGCTCTTCCAACACTCATTATTTCCCCATCATGTTGAGTCAAGAACCACTCGATTGGAAAGGTTTCTGATTACCTTCCTCCTCCCTACCTGCTTTTCAAAGGGTTGCTGTAATCTTTGAAAGGTTACAAAGCCAGTTTCTCTCTGTGCCACTCCCTAATCCCTACTGGTTTGAAGTATTCTCCCAGGGGAGTAACACCTAGACCTGCCTCATTCCCCTTCTGTGGCAGAAGTCTCCCCAACAACTCCCCAAAGGCTTGGTCTAGATGAGGCTCCTGAAACATCTCTCAAGCTGTTGCTGTCTCTACCCACCTACCCAGATGGATAGAGACAGGAGCTAGAAGCCTTGTCTCCCCGTCATTGCTTCTGTTCGTATTCTGACCCTGCAGATCCCAGCCAGTCCTCTGGGCCAGCACTGCAGAATGACTGCAGACTGCCCTCCTTGTACAGACACATTGTCACACACACACAACCAGAAATGTGGGAAGAAATAAGATGCCTTGTATAGAGTTTACTGTTTAATGTCAAGCAAAATAGATTTCTTCCTATTGTCGTGGATAGAGAGGAAAGTTAGAAACAGAGAGGCGGCCAGGCACGGTGGCTCACACCTGTAATCCTAGCACTTTGGGAGGCTGAGGCAGGCAGGCAGATCACCTGAGGTGAGAAGTTTGAGACCATCGTGACCAATGTTATAAAACCCCATCTCTACTAGAAATACAAAAATTAGCCAGGCATGATGGTGTGCGCCTGTAATCCCAGCTACAGTGGAGGTTGAGTGAGGCATAAGAACCGTTTGAACCCGGAAGGCAGAGGTTGCAGTGAGCCTAGATGGCACCACTGCACTCCAGCCTGGGTGACGGAGTAAGACTCTGTCTCAAAAAAAAAAAAAAAGAAAAGACACTGAGAGAAGGAGCAGCCCTTTTGAAGGATTATAAAGTAGTTTTATGGAATAATATGTTAGCCCTGAGGAAAGAAAAGGAGATCAGAGGAGTTTGTCATGCATGCTAATCTGGTGTGAGCTCCAGCTTACCTTGTAACACACAAGGCAGTAGTGTTAAAATTGTCAGTGAAATGATAGTGTACAATAACATAAAAAGCAAATTTATAAGGTTTTCCACTTTTTTCTTCTAACTCTCCCTCCAGATTATCGTAGATGATGATGACAGTAAGATATGGTCGCTCTATGACGCGGGTCCCCGAAGTATCAGGTGTCCTCTCATATTCCTGCCTCCTGTCAGTGGGACTGCAGATGTCTTTTTCCGGCAGATTTTGGCTCTGACTGGATGGGGTTACCGGGTTATCGCTGTAAGTATTACTGATACAGTATTAAAATTCAGACCCACATTGTGTGTGTGTGTGTGTGTGTGTGTGTGTGTGTGTGTGTGTGTTCTTCTGTCTCTGATCAGCTATAGTAATGGGTATTTTTTTTTTAATTGAGGAAAGATACTGTTTGCCTATTTTAAAATGTGAGATGAAGCCTTTTGAAGAAGGCTGGTGTGAGTCCACAGTCACAAGAGATTCAGAGGGAACAAACCTCTATTGGCAGCCTCTCCATGGCCAGCGTTTTCCTGTATTCTCTCCTGATGCTCTTCTCTCAACTCGGAGGGGTAGGAAGCATTGTCCTTGTTTACAAATGAGGAAACTGAGGTCTGGCTCACACAGCCAGTAATGGTGGAGAGAGGAACCGAGCTCCGTCTCCTGGCTCGGTTTCTGATCCTCTTTTTTTTTTTTTTTTTTTTTTTTTTGAGACGGAGTTTCGCTCTTGTTACCCAGGCCAGAGTGCAATGGCGTGATCTTGGCTCACCGCAACCTCCGCCTCCTGGGTTCAGGCAATTCTCCTGCCTCAGCCTCCTGAGCAGCTGGGATTACAGGCACGCGCCACCATGCCCAGCCAACTTTTTGTATTTATAGTAGAGACGGGGTTTCACCATGCTGACCAGGATGGTCTCGATCTTCTGACCTCGTGATCCACCCGCCTTGGCCTCCCAAAGTGCTGGGATTACAGGCATGAGCCACCGCGCCCAGCTCTGATCCTCGTTTTATCACAACACTGCCTCCAGGGTTGCAGAGCACAGAATATTAGACAACGAAGGGATTTACCAACATACAAGTGACTGAAAACCTGGCTTTTCTGGTAAATCTTTTGATATGTCAGGTAAGGTTCATTAATTAGCTCATATGTTAACTTTTGATTGGGATGTTTTTTGTTCCTAATTGTTACTTTAGAGCCGAGTTTGGTCTAAATCTAGTTTCCCACTTCATTCTTGAGTCTTCTCTGGGAAAAAAGTGTGTGGCAAAGGCACTCTTCCTGGTGACAATTTTTTTTTCTCCATGCTTCCACTGTAATGATACAGGTTGGTCAGGACATTGGTCTCCTAATTTCCCAGGAAGAAGAGACTCTTTAGCTGGCAGTCATTTCTAGGACCTGCAGTATTCACTTGTAAGTGGCACTCCCAGTGGAAGTACTGCTGTTAGTATACAATTTATTTACTGTTTAAAGGATGAAAAAGAAGGTGGGGTTACCACCAACTGGGGCCACACAAAAGAAATCAGTTCGTCTTCCTCCTGACAGCCAGTCTCTTACTTGAGAAAATAGTTATCATCAGTACCACCTGCTGCCTTTGTCCTGGGTCTTTTCTTCTCTGGCTTAATTTCTCTGGCTTCTTTAACCATTCTCCACATGACATGTTTGAGTCTCTGCAACATAATCCTCCCTTGTTCAGATTTTCAGTCATTCCTCTTCACAAACAGCATTCTAGAAAAGGGCAGGAACTGCCCTCATCCCAGCCCTCTGCAGCCTGAGACATGACACCACCATTTTTGGTGGCCCCTGTTTATCAGCCAGGGAGGGGGAAACCGAGCAGCCCGCAGGTGCCCATCCCAGTCGGGAGTGCTGTCCAGCAGTGTGTTTCTTACTTCACAGTGGCAGGTCATGAGAGCCTCGCCTTCTGGCTGGATGTTTCTTTTTTACCCTCAGGGTTCTTGATGTGGGCCTTCCCTGTTTCATTAGGAGGATAGTGAATCAATAAAAGGTCAACAGCATCTTCAAAATTAGTTTGTCATCAAGATTTGATCAGAATGTTCAACTCCATGAGCTCTTGGAACTTATTTGATATTTGTTAGTATCTAGCAGTTAAAATGCACAGGTCTTTTTCATTTAAATTTTTTATTGTTATAATCGTGGATTCACATGCAGCCATAAAAAATAATAGAGAGAAATAGCCCTTTTACACTTTCGTCGGTTTCCATCAAACCTTTGCAAAACTACAGTACAATATCACAACCAGGATATTGATATTACTACAATCTACCAATCTCATTCAGGTTTCCCCAGTTCTGCTTGAACTCATTTGTTTGTATGTATTAAGTTGCATATAATTTTGTCACCTGTGTGGGTATGTATATTTATAAATTAAAGACTCCATGAAAATATCATCCCCTTTCTTTTAGGCTGTCATCTGGCTCAAATTCTCAAACTTTCTGTTAGGCAGAATCTGTTCTCCATTCTTTCTTGGGATGGTGGAATTCTTACCCACAAATAGAATTTTAATAAGAAAACAAACAGGCCAGGAGTGGTGGCTTACGCCTGTAATTCCAGCGCTTTGGGAGGCCAAGGCAGGTGGATCACTTGAAGTCAGGAGTTCGAGACTAGCCTGGCCAACTTGGCGAAACCCTATCTCTACTAAAAATACAAAAATCAACCAGGCGTTGTGGTGGACATCTGTAATCCCAGCTACTCAGGAAGCTGAGGTAGGAGAATTGCTCAAACCCAGGAGCTGGAGGTGGCATGAGTCGAGATCACACCACTGCACTAACCTGGGCAACGGAGGAGACTCTGTCTCAAGAAACAAACGAACACCCCAGAGTACAATGAAATAGAGTAACTAAGTCATTTAAAAGAAGAGGAACAACTTTACTAAATACCACCTTAAAGAAATGCTACCAAAAAGAGAGGGAGCTCTCCTTAGAACAAATTTTCTTTCCAGCTCTCCTGAGCCATATCCTGAATGAAACTAGATTTAAGAGAAAACTATATTTTTTTACTGAAATGGGTTCTGCTATATTCATCCTTGAACCCCAGACTTTTTCAGCTATTTAGAAAGGAAATTGATATGAATTGAAATTGTTACTCACATAATATCCTTAGAGTGTGCTTACTTTTCATTCTCTTTTAATTTGGTCTGTTAGGTAAAATGTGAATTATGAAGTTTAGTAAAAAGTGAGAGCTTATTTTTACATATTTTGTATAGAGAGCAGCACTTGAGCAAATGAGAAATGCCACTATTTGAGTTCTAAAATTTTCAATTATGAGTTACATTTTTACTTTTATGATTTTTAAAATAGAAATTATTGTTCTTGTTTCAGTTGCAGTATCCAGTTTATTGGGACCATCTCGAATTCTGTGATGGATTCAGAAAACTTTTAGACCATTTACAATTGGATAAAGTGAGTACCCTGAAACTAATTACATACATATGATTTTTTTGTTTTGAGACAAAGTCTCACTCTGTTGCCGAGGCTGGAGTGCAGTGACGTGATCTTGGCTCACTGCAACCTCCATCTCCTGGGCTCAAGTGATTCTCCTGCCTCAGCTTCCAAAGTAGCTGGGATTACAGGCATGTGCCACCATGCCCAGCTGATTTTTGTATTTTTAGTAAATATGGGCTTTTGCCGTGTTGGCTAGACTGACCTCAAGTGATCCGCCTGGCTTGGCCTTCCAAAGTGCTGGAATTACAGGCGTGAGCCACTGTGCCCAGCCCTCTCTTATTTTTTAATAATAACTTTATTGCAACATAATTCATATACCATATAATTTACCCTTTAAGTATACAGTTCCATGTTTTTCAGTGTATGCGCAGGAATGTGTAACCATCACCGCAGTCAGTGTTTTAAAATTTTTTAAATGCCAAAAACCTCACACTCATTAGCAGTCAGTCCCTATCTTCCCTTCTACTAGCCCTGCAACCTAATTTACTTTTTATCTCTATGAATTTGCCTATTCTAGATATTTTACGTAAGTGGAATATATCATATGTGGTGTTTGCGACTGGCTTTTTAAACTTAGCATTATAAGTTTGAGGTTCAGTCATGCTGAAACCTGAATCAATACTTTGTTTCTCTTTATGGCTAAATCATATTTTTATGAATCTGCTATGTCTTGTTTATTCATTCATCAGCTGATGCACATTTGGGTGGTTTTTACCTTTTGGATATCGTGAATAATGTTGCCAGGAACATTCATGTACAAGTTTTTGTGTTGATGTATGTTTTCAGTTCTCTTAGGTATATATGTAGGGGTGGAATTACTGAATCATACTTTTCTTAGACATAAACCACTAAGTGGTTTAGGGTGTTTTTCTTTTCTTTTCTTTATTTTTTTTCTTTTTGAGACAGGCTTTCACTCTGTTGCCCAGGCTGGAATACAGTGGTGCAATCATGGTTCACTGCAGCCTCAACCTCTTGGACTCAAGTGATCCTCCCACCTCAGCCTCCCCAGTAGCTAGGACTACAAGCATATTCCACCATGCCCAGCTAATTTTTGTATTTTTAATAGACTTGGCTTTGTTTGTGAATAACGTTTGTTAACTTATATAGCTTGGATGCAGAATTGTATTATTTTGATGGAGTGTGTAAATTGCATTTAAATACAAAATTTTCTAAATTTCTAGCTGCTGTAAATATTTTAGTCTGTTGGCTAGTGGTAACATATTCTGTGGCTAGTGATAATTGAAGGACCTTTTAATACTCATGTTCAAGATTGATCAGTATTTTAGGATCTGCCTTATATTTGTTCATAATTAGGTTCATCTTTTTGGCGCTTCTTTGGGAGGCTTTTTGGCCCAGAAATTTGCTGAATACACTCACAAATCTCCAAGAGTCCATTCCCTCATCCTCTGCAATTCCTTCAGTGACACCTCTATCTTCAACCAAACTTGGACTGCAAATAGGTAAAAACAAAATTATTATTTTTGTTCAGTGAAATTTTGAAAATGTTGCATTTTGAGTGTTTAGTATAGTAGGAAGGGAAGGTTTATATATACTTCAATATTCTGTAACTTCCTTGGTTTTTTGTTTGGTTTTTTTTTTGATAACAGAGTCTTGCTTTGTCACCCAGGCTGAAGTGCAGTGGTAAAATCACGGCTCACTGCAGCCTCCATTTCCCAGGCTCAAGTGATTCTCCTACCTCAGCCTCCAAAGTAGCTGGAACTATAGGCAGGCATGTGAGGCACCACACCTGGCTAATTTTTATACTTTTTGTAGAGATGGGGTTTTACCCTGTTGCCCATCCTGGTCTCTAACTTCTAGGCTCAGGTGATCTGCCCACCTTGGCCTCTCAAAGTTCTGGGATTACAGGCAGGAGCCACTATGCCTGGCTCTTTCTTGGCTTTTAAAATTAGAAACAATTACCTTTGTAAAAGGAAAGAATGAACTCTAAATTCAATTTTTTTATTACCCTAAATTATTTTTAAATTTTAATATTCATTCATACACTTTGCTCTTTCTATTCAGTACTTCTGTATAACTAATATCTTCTGTTTATTCCACTTATTATTTTGTTTAAATAGTTCCAAGTATTGAGTGACGTAGTTTTATTAGGCATTTGGCTTTTCCCAATTCTTCATCATGTTCCACAGTAAAGCTTTGTACAAATTACTGGGTTTTTTTCCCTTTGTGGTTTATTTCCTTGAGATGTGTTCTCTAAATGGAAAGACTAGAGACTTTGGTCTGTTAACACATGTTCTGTACATCATGGCCCTTGATGTTAGTCTGTTCTTCTGAAAGATAGAAATGGTGAAAATGCTTCCGGAGCAGCCAGTGGGGTACCTGTTTCCTAGGTGCCATCCTTTCATTTATTTGATCTTTTTAAGTGGTTCTGTAGGTATCTATGATGCCATACAGCTGGCTTACTGTGCACTTCTTTCACTGCTAGCAAGGCTAGGCTCTAGCCTTAGAAAAAGCCCAGTGGCCAGGTGTGGCGGCTTACATCTGTACTCCCAACAATTTGGGAGGCCAAGCAAGAGGATCACTTCAGGCCAAGAGTTTGACACCAGCCTGAGCTGCATAATGAGACCCTGTTTCTACAAATAATAACAATAATAATAAATTAACCAGGTAACATGGTACGTACCTGCAGTCCTAGCTATTCAGGAGGCTGAAGCAGGAGGATTTCTTGAGCCTGAGAGTTCAAAGCCGCAGTGAGTCATGATCTTGCCTCTGTACTCCAGTCTGGATGACAGAGCAAGACCCTATTTCACAAATAAAAGTCTAGTGACTAATCACATCTGTATGATCAGTGTTTTCAAATAATGTATAGGGAAATATTGTTTTCACATCTACTTAAGATTGCACTCTGGAATACTTTTTAGTTTTTCTGATGTTAGTAGTTACTCAGCATGCAATAATTTTTTTTCTTTTTCTTTTTTTTTTTTTTTTTTGAGATGGAGTCTTGTTCTGTCACCCAGGCTGGAGTGTAGTGGTGCCATCTCAACTCACTGCAACCTCCCCCTCCCGGGTTCAAGCAGTTCTCCTGCCTCAGCCTCCCAAGTAATTGGGACTACAGGATGTGCCACCATGCCCGGCTAATTTTTTGTATTTTTAGTAGAGATGGGGTTTCACTAGGATGAAACGGGGTTAGCCAGGATGGTCTTGATCTCCTGACCTCGTGATCTGCCCGCCTTGGCCTCCCAAAGTGCTGGGATTACAGGCATGAGCCACCACACCTGGCCTCATGCAACAATTTCTTGTATACATTAGCTACTTACAAATCCCTCCCGTCTAGGTAATGCACAAATAATGCTCATTATTTTTGGTGATTTTTATTGCTGTTCTAATTGTTAGAAGGCCAAGACAGCCCCCATTCAGTTTGTGCTCTGGCACATCAGCTGCTTTTTGTCAAGTATCTGAGTGCTTCCTGTGCTCCACACACTGGAATACAAGAGTGGACAAAGCCAGCAGGGTCCACCCCTAACAGAGTGTACTTAGACATCATCACCTTCAAAAGCTAAGAAAGTGCTGTGGCTGGGAGAGAACTTAGAAAGTTAACTGGAAGATGACCCAGTGGTCCTTTTGAAGGAAGCTCAATTTCCAGCAAGGCTGTCCAAGTGATAATATGCATCAGAAGCACCTCTTCTAAGTAATTCATCCTAGGTTTAGAGAAATTAGTATTTACCCTCTAAAATTAGTATTTACCCTCTTAACAGTTAAAATTAATGGAATAAATATAAACTAAAGATTATATATAGAAATCCATAAAATCTGGCCAGTCACAGTGGTTGTGTAATCCCAACACTTTGGGAGGCAGAGGTGGGAGCACTGTTTGAGTATCCAGGAGTTCTAGACCAGCCTGGGCAACATAGCAAGACCCTGTCACTACAGAAAATGTTTTAAAAATTAGCCAGGCCTGGTGGTGCAAGCCCATAGTCCCAACTACTCAGAAGGGCAAAGTGGAAGGATCACTGGACAGGAGTTTGAGGCTACAGTGAGCTGTGATTACAACACTGCACTTCAGCCTGGGCTGAACAAGACCCTGTCTCTAAAAAATTTTTTTCTTTTTTTATTTTTTTTAAAGACGGGGTTTCACCATGTTGGCCAGGATGGTCTCGATCTTCTGACCTCATGATTTGCCCGCCTCCGCCTCCCAAAGTGCTGGGGTCACAGGCGTGAGCCACCTGGCCAAATTTTTTAAATTAAAAAATAAAAAGAGGCCAGGTGCGGTGGCTCATGCCTGTGATCCCAGCACTGTGGGAGGCTGAGGTGGGTGGATCACTTGAGGCCAGGAGTTTGCCACCCGCCTGGCAAAAATGGTAAAACCTCATCTCTACTAAAAATACATAAGTTAGACGGGCATGGTGGCACACGCCTTTAGTCCTAGCTACTCGGGAGGCTGAGGCATGAGAATTGCTTGACCCCAGGAGGCAGAGGTTGCAGTGAGCTGAAATCATGCCACTGTGCTCCAACCTGGGCAACCTAGTGAGAATGTGTCTGAAATAATAATAATAATTTTAAAAAACAAATCTATAAATACCAATTTGCCTTAAATTAGCCAAGTTGAATCTAATAGCAGCAAATTTGGGAAGGTGGGATAACTTTCATATTGGTATTTTAAAATCTATTTTGAAATATCAATCAATAAAAAGAAAATATTGAGCTGGGTGCAGCGGCTCACGCCTGTAATCACGGAACTTTGGGAGGCCGAGGCAGGCAGATCGAGGTCAAGAGATGGAGAACATCCTGGCCAATGTGGTGAAACCCCGTCTCTACTAAAAGTAGAAAAATTAGGTAGGCGTGGTAGCGCGTGCCTGTAGTCCCAGCTACTTTGGAGGCTGAGGCAGGAGAATCACTTGAACCCGGGAGGTGGAGGTTGCAGTAAGCCCAGATCGCACCACTATACTCCAGCCTGGCAACAGAGCGAGACTTCATCTCAATCAATCAATCAATAAGAAATATCAAGAAGGAATAAATAAATATCAAGAAGGAATAAATAAATAAATAAGAAATATCAACCAGAAGGAAAGAATATTTCTCTTAATGCTCAGTTTTCCAAAAGAAATAGTTTAATCCTTGGAAATAAGGCAAATTAGAATAATAAAATCTTGGACTCATCAGAATGTCTTTGTCAGTAAAGGTATTTTGAAATATCACTTGTAATTATCCTATATCCTCAAATAAAAGTTTAATTATATTAAGCCATAACTCTTTGGAAGTTTGGGAAAGTGTATAAAAACTAGATGCTGAGCTCTTTAGAGGAAGAGATTAGGACTTTTGATCTAGATCCCAAGCTGATACAAAGCTTTAATGTTGAATGAACATTTGCCATGTGTAGTCTTGGAAGTTTAAATTATAAGGTCTTTGTCTGTGTTTTACAGCTTTTGGCTGATGCCAGCATTTATGCTCAAAAAGATAGTTCTTGGAAACTTTTCATCTGGCCCAGTGGACCCTATGATGGCTGATGCCATTGATTTCATGGTAGACAGGGTAAGGATCATGACACTGGGGTGGGGTCACGTTGTATTGGGAATTTTCACATTTACTTGGTTCCAGAAGATAGATCTGTCCATTGAATATTTGTTAGAGGTAGTTGCTAAGCAGTCTTCCAGATTCATACATCTGAGCAGAAATTATTGCTGGGAAGGGCTTGCCTACATTAGTGTGTCCCACCAGCTGTTCATCAAAATCACTTAGGATAGCTTTCAGAAATAGATTGTAAGGCCTCACACCAGACCCTCCATCTGGAATCCCTGAGCATGGGATCTGGGAATCTATTTTTACTTCACATTTTTCCTCTACCCACCAGGTAAATCTGATGTACTAGGTCCATTGGCTTGCCTTTGGGAACTACTGGGCTAGATGATTTCTCAAGTCTCTTCTAGCTCTAAGATCCCTTAAAGATTTATCTAAATAAATAAAAAATAAAAAATAAAAAGATGTATCTGTCACCTTTGAGCAGTAGGAATTGGCTTGCTGCCCACGGGCACCTGGCTGAAGTAGTCAGTGTAGGTTGAGGGCTTTAGAAGGCCAGGTTTCATTGATTTGTATCCAGGTTTCCAGAACAGAAAATGCCACCACCTCCTGAGAAACCCAGTTCATGGTCTCTCACATAAATGGTAGTTCCCCATTGGTGACTTTTCTGGCCCCACCACAGATGATACCACCTTTATAAGCACAAATATTGTCTGTAGATTTAATGTAAATGTGAAAAACAAAATGATTTCAAAAACTTTACCTGTGTTTCTTCCTGCAGCTAGAAAGTTTGGGTCAGAGTGAACTGGCTTCAAGACTTACCTTGAATTGTCAAAATTCTTATGTGGAACCCCATAAAATTCGGGACATCCCTGTAACCATTATGGACGTAAGTTTCCTTTTAAGTAAAATAGCTGCTATACTTTTTAAAATGTCCATGTCAAGATCCCCTCTAAAACTATTTGACAGTTTTAATGTGCCTCTTCAAGTGCTGCCTTGGCTTTTGTTTTTATCCTCCAACTTTCTCAGTTCCAAAATAATCTGTTTATTGCTTGTCTTGGATTTCTTTCTGGCAGGAATAACAACACTGAAATCAAAATAGGCTGAGCACAGTGGCTTATGCCTGTAATCCTAGCGCTTTGGGAGGCTGAGGCAGGAGTATGGCTTGAGTCCAGGAGTTCAGGACCAGCCTGGGCAACACAGTGAGACCCTGTCTCTTTTTATTAAAAAAGAAAAATAAACATGAATCAAAATAAATTTAAACAAGGGAGTCTACCCATTTGGTATATTTTTGCTGTTCTCATCAATAGATATTTTACCTTAGCCATTACATATCTGGGCAGCAAAGAGAAGGTACTTCGCAAGGATAGAGAATCAAGAATTCTAGAGTCTAATTAGCACAAAAGCTTGCTTATTTTTTTACTGTGGTAAAATATACATTAAAACATACACCATTTTAACCATTTTTAAGTACATAGTTCAGTGGCATTAAGTATATTCACAATGTTGTGCAACCACCACCATTTTCACAACATTTTCATCATTCCAAGAAGAAATTGCATACCCATTAAACAATAACTCCCTGTTTCCCTTTTCCCCCAGCCTCTGATAATCAAGTCTACTTTTCTGTCTGTAGGAATTTGCCTATTCCAGGAACCTCATATAAGTGGAATCATACGTTTATCCCATTGTGCGGCTTACTTCAGTTAGCATAATGTTTCTCAAGACTTACCTTGAAATGTTATGCATGTGTCAGAATGTCATCTCTTTCTTTCTTTTTTTTTTTTTTTTTTTTTTTTTTTTTTTTTTTCTGAAACAGGGTCTCACTCTATTCCCCAGGCTGGAGTGCAGTGGTGTAATCTCAGTTCACTACAACCTCTGCCTCCCAGGCCCAAACAATCCTCCCTCCTTAGCCTCCTGAGTAGCAGGAACCACAGGTGCACACCACTACATCAGGCAAATTTTTTATAGAGATGGAATTTCACCATGTTGCCCAGGCTGGACTCAAACTCTGGGGCTCAAGCTATCTGCCCACCTCAGCCTCCCAAATTGCTGGGATTACAGGTGTGAGCCACCACGCCCAGCCTGTCATTTCTTTTTAAAGTGGAATAATATCCACCAGTAAAACCAATGTTGGTTCATACCACATTTTGTTTATCCATTCATCCATCAGTGGACACTTAGTTGTGTTCAGTTTTTGGCAATTGTGAATAATGCTTCTCAACACATTGGTATAAAAGTATATGTTTGGGCCACGCACATTGGCTCATGCCTGTGATCCCAGCACTTTGGGAGGCCGACGCAGGAGGATTATTGAGCCCAGGAATTTGAGACCAGTCTGGGCAATATAAGGAGACCCCATCTCTACTTATAATTTAAAAAATTAGCTGGGCATGGTGCCACATCCCTGTGGTCCCAGCTACTTGGGAGGCTGAGGTGGGAGGATCACCTGAACCCAGGGGCGTTAAGGCTACAGTGAGCTTCAATCGTACCACTGCACTCCAGCCTGGGCAACAGAGTGAGACCCTGTCAAAAAAAAAAAAAGTATGTGTGTGTGTGTGTGTGTGTTTGAGTTCCTGCTTTTAATACTTTTTTATTTTAAAATTATATTTTATTTTTTATTTTCGTGGGTATGTAGTAGATGTATCCTACTTTTAATTCTTTTGGACATATAGTTTGAAGTGGAGTTGCTGGATTATCTGTTTAACTTTTTCAAGAACCACTGTACCATCTTCCACAGTGGCTGTACTATTTCATGTTCCCACCAACAATGCACAAGGGTTCCAGTTTCTCTATATCCTGGACATTTCTTTCTGGTTTTTTGGTTGATACTTATCCTAATGGATATGAATTGGTATTTCACTATAGTTTCAACTTACTTTGAAAAAAACAATCATATAACTGTTTGGCCTTATAAATGGATTTGTCCCTAAATTCAAATAATAGGATATTTTTAATAATTGGCTTTTGTAGGGAAATTATCCATTATAAGCATGTAAACAACTTATCATTCTCTGCCATAATTGCTGCATTCTGATATTTACCATAACACAGAACAAGCTTTTCAGTATTCCTCACAGGGCGTTTGCACTGCCTGCTGTTCTTTCAAAGCCATGCTCATCACCTGGGTTCATGGTCACTGAAAACAGCCTATAAGATTTAGTTGGAGATGCACTATTTTAAATATGCAGATTTAGTGTGGTATATTTAGTATACACTATTTTTTACTTCTTTTAGTTTTTGAAAAACTTCCCTGCATGTAAAAACATAAATGTGTATGGGTATTGAAAGATGTCTAGAATCATATGCTGCAAACTGGCTTTCCCAAGAAAGAGTAGCTTGTACTCTTTACAGTTTTTTGGAATTTTTTCACTAAGCCTAAATGACTTAACGTTATTGCTTTAAATTAATAATAAAAGTTATTTTGGGACTTCATGATCTTCTTGAAATTTATTGGCATTTGTGGTGATTGTTCTCTATTAATAATCTGTTAATCTACTTAGCTATATTTGAGGAGAAAGAAAATTCATGGTAGAATTTCCCCTCACCCCAGCCAGGCGCAGTGGCTCACACCTGTAATCCCAGCCCTTTGGGAGACTGAGGCGGGCTGATCACTTTAGGTCAGGAGTTCGAGACCAACCTGGCCAACATGGTGAAACCCCATCTCTACTAAAAACACAAAACTTAGCTGGTGTGGTAGCGGGCGCCTTTGGAAGGCTAAGGCAGCTATTTGGAAGGCTAAGGCAGAAGAATTGCTTGAACCCAGGAGGTGGAGGTTGCAGTGAGCCAAGATTGTACCCCTGAACTCCAGCCTGGGCGACAGAGGGAGACTCCGTCTCAAAAAAAGAAAAAAAAAGAAAATTTCCCCACTGAAAGAATGCAGGAGATGCTTTGCAGCAAAATCTATAACTAATGTCTTGGGTTGGAGTTAGCAGTCACCAGGGATCAGCAGTAGAAGGTAGCTCAGGCTGCTAGGGGCACAGCACTGTCTCTTCATAAGAAAGGAATGCTTAGGGTAGCATTTCCATAATGTGAAAAGAACATATTAAAACAGTTGATTACAGCTTTGTGTATGTGTGTATGTGTTTTACCTTTCCTATGGTGCTGAAGCTTTGTGTTTTTTTAAAGGTGTTTGATCAGAGTGCACTTTCAACTGAAGCTAAAGAAGAAATGTACAAGCTGTATCCTAATGCCCGAAGAGCTCACCTTAAAACAGGAGGCAATTTCCCATACCTGTGCAGAAGTGCGGAGGTGAATCTTTATGTACAGGTAAGGCCTAGCTTGAAACCCAGAGCACTCTGGGCCCAACATACGTTTGTAACATAAAGCCTTTTTTTTAAATGGAGTAGTAAGGGGATCAGGGAACTATAGAATTCCTAGGAATGAAGCATTGACTTGATAAAAGTGGTTTACATTTATAATTTGTAGGTCAATTTGAACAATTATATTAGAGGTCCTCCACTGACTCCCTGCCCACCATCCCTTTTCCAAGAACAGGAGGTCTGCATTCACATACTGAGATAGCCATTGGCATGATGGGACCTTGCCCTCTGGACACAGTGAATTCCGTCAGAGCAAGACACCAGACTTAAATGGGATCAATCTGAGTCCTGTGAAGTGATTTCTTGATATAATTTTAATGCATTAAAAGAAAACTCTAACAAACACCACCCCTTCATACTCTTAACTAAGTGGATAATACGATAGCAGTGAGGGTTGAGTGCCCTGGCAATTTGGCAAAAAGAATCAAGAGCCTTAAAAAACCAGTCATGTTCCATGATCCTGTCATCCACTTGTAGAAGACAGGATCCTAAAGAGGAAAACTTGGTGCTGGAGATATTCATCATAGCAGCACTAGTCACAGTAGCAGAAGACTGGAAGGACCTAACCCACAGCAGCAGAAGGGAAGGGTAAACATCTCCTCATGGAGCATGCACCATCTAAGGTGTCTCAGAAGACTCTGCAGGACTCAGGGAGACTGCACAGGGAGTGAGGAACAAAGATCCCAAATGTGGTTTTAAAAAATTGTTTGACTTTTCTCTGGTATGTATTAGTCTGTAAATTTTAGAAGTATAAAACATTTATCTACTATGGTGATTTTTCCTGCCAAACTTTTTGTAGAAGGCAGTGTACATTTTGCTCTGTAATGCAGCCATTTAAAATAATGATTCTGGCTGGGCATGATGGTTGAGGCCTATAATCCCAACACTTTGGGAGGTAAAGGTAGATGGATCACCTGAGGTCAAGAATTCAAGACCAGCCTGGCCAACATGGTGAAACCCCATCTTCTAAAAATAGAAAAATTAGCTGATCATCGTGTTGGGCATCTGTAATCCCAGCTCAAGAGGCTGAGGCAGGAGAATTGTGTGAACCTGGGAAGCAGAAGTTGCAGTGAGCCGAGATTGCACTGTTGCGCTCCAGCCTGGGTGCCAAGAGTGACACAAATAGGCTGGGTGTGGTGGCTCACACCTGTAATCCCAACACTTTGGGAGGCTGAGGCAGGCAGATCACGAGATCAAGAGATCAAGACCATCCTGGCCAACATGGTAAAACCCCGTCTCTACTAAAAATACAAAAATTAGCTGGGTGTAGTGGCACGTGCCTATAGTCCCAGCTACTCAGGAGGCTGAGGCAAGAGAATCACTTGAACCCAGGAGGCAGAGGTTGCAGTGAGCTGAGATCGTGCCAGTGCACTCCAGCCTGATGACAGAGCAAGACTCTGTCTTAGAAAATAAATAAATAAAACAAAATAAATAAACATATAAGTAAAATAAAATAATGATTCTGTGTTTCAACAGATACATTTGCTGCAATTCCATGGAACCAAATATGCGGCCATTGACCCATCAATGGTCAGTGCCGAGGAGCTTGAGGTGCAGAAAAGCAGCCTCGGCATCAGCCAGGAGGAACAATAGTTGTGTTTCTTGCTGTCAATGATGAGTTGACCCGGTGTGTTCTCATACAGTCCGTGGCATCAGCGTCCACCAGCTGGCCTTTTCCTTCAGGTTCGTCAGGCTCACCGGTTCTCACTGTGTCTGGGAAGTAGGACTAATGGTCATATTCATGACAGGTGGCAGCTCCACTAAGCCCATGTAACTGTTCCCTCTTCGGTTTTCTTAGCTTTTGAATTTGAAGAAGTACTTTTGAAGACTCCTGTTTTAAGAACTGTGCAAATTTTGCTACCAAAAGTCTTCATCACTGTGTTCTTAAGTGAATGTTAACTTCTGAGGTTTGGGACTTTGTGGGACGTTTTCTTCTTTTCTTTTCCTTTCTTCTTTCTTTCTTTTCTTTTCTTTCTTTTTTTTTTTTTTTAAATGTTTGCTGCCAATGCTGCATCCAGGTTGCATATCAGTTCATTGAGTATGTTATGCTTTCTTGGATATAACGTTATCAGCGTGCCATGGCTATCACCCCACTGTTTGCTCTCCTGCAAATCAAGTGCTTTTAATTTACACTTAAGCAAATTGTTTTGAGTGTTAGCTACTGTCTTTCTAGATATTACAGTCATTTGGAATAAAAATTCAATTTCACCGAGTTGCTTTCGTGATTACTGTGGCTGTCCAGTGGGGCTACACAGGCCTAGGACTTTCTGAGACGTAGGTCATGGTTGCCAGTTCTGTGTGACTTTGGGTAAGCTACTTAATCTCCCTGAAGTACAGTTTTTGCATCATAAAGTAACCCTAAGCTATCATTTTTGATCTGCTACTGTGTGCCAAATCATTTTCTCATCTTCGTTCTTTCCCGAGTGGAAATTTTTAAACCCACATAAAGTACAGAAAATAGCATAATGAATGATGTTCCCATCACCCAGCTTCAAAAATTATTAACTCTCAGACAGTTTTGTTCACCTTTTTTTTTTGAGATGGAGTTTCACTTTTGTTGCCCAGGCTGGAGTGCAATGGTGTGATCTTGGCTCACTGCAACCTCCACCTCCCAGGTTCAAGCAATTCTCCTGTCTCAGCTTCCCAAGTAGTTGGGATTACAGGCATGCGCCACCACACGCAGCTAATTTTATATTTTTAGTAGAGACAGGGTTTCTCCTTGTTGGTCAGGCTGGTCTCAAACTCTTGACCTCAGGTGATCTGCCCACCTCGGCCACTCAAAGTGTGGGAATTACAGCCAGGAGTCACCACACCCAACTTTGTCAATCTTTTAACCTGCATTTCTTCCATACATGCTCCTATCACTAAATTATTTTAAAGCCATTTCTGGTGCTGTATCATTTCATCTGTAAATATTTCTTTTTTTTTTTTTTTTTTTTTTTTTGAGACGGAGTTTCGCTCTTGTTACCCAGGCTGGAGTGCAATGGCGGGATCTCAGCTCACCGCAACCTCCATCTCCTGGGCTCAAGCAATTCTCCTGCCTCAGCCTCCTGAGTAGCTGGGACTACAGGCGTGCGCCACCACGCCCAGCTAATTTTTGTATTTTTAGTAGAGACGGGGTTTCACCATGTTGACCAGGATGGTCTCGATCTCTTGACCTCGTGATCCACCCGTCTCAGCCTCCCAAAGTGCTGGGATTACAGGCGTGAGCCACCGCGCCCGGTTCTTTTTTTTTTTTGAGACGGAGTTTCGCTCTTGTTACCCAGGCTGGAGTACAATGGCGCGATCTTGGCTCACCACAACCTCCGCCTCCTGGGTTCAGGCAATTCTCCTGCCTCAGCCCCCTGAGTAGCTGGGATTACAGGCACGCGCCACCATGCCCAGCTAATTTTTAGTATTTTTAGTAGAGACGGGGTTTCACCTTGTTGACCAGGATGGTCTCGATCTCTTGACCTCGTGATCCACCCGCCTCGGCCTCCCAAAGTGCTGGGATTACAGGCTTGAGCCACTGCGCCCGGCCCATCTGTAAATATTTCTATGTGTACCTTTAAAATAACAGCCTTAATACCATTACCACACTTAAAAATTTACCAATGATTCCTTCATATCGTCTAATAATCCAGTCAATATTCTCACTATTATCCCATAAGTGTTTTTTTTTTTTTATAGGTGACTTGTTCTAATCAGGTTTCATATAAAGCCCACACTTTGTATTTCATTGAAGTGTCTCAGACCTCTTAAATAGGAAGCTCCTCCTCCCTCTATTTTTTTCTTGCCATATATTCAGTGAAGAAGCAGGTTCATTTGCCCTGTAGTTGTCCGACAGTCCAGATTTGGCCAACTGCAGCCTCATGGTGTTTTTCCACTTGTTTCTCTGTCCCTGGTATTTCCTATAAACTGGTAGTTACATCAAGAGGCTTGATCAGGTCAAGCTCGATCTTTTTAGCAGGAGCACTGCATAAGTGGGGCTGTGTGCTTCTCTTGCGTCATCTCAGGAGGCACATCATGTCTGGTTGTTTCTAAGTTGTTATGATTGCTGAGTGTGTTCAGGCGTCATCAGCCTGATCCAGTCCTGAGAAAGTCCCTGCTGGCTTAGCTGCCACTGCTGACCATAACACAGATGCATCATTCCATTAGGGGCTGTAGGACAGTAAGAATACTAATTTTTATCATTCTGCATTTATTAACTGGAAATTACCAATTTAAAAAAAAAAAAACAAAAACTTGCCCTCATCAACTGCTTGGTTTCTCTGAGATACAATTTAGACAGAAAAATAAGCGTCAGTGCTTCTTTCCCTTTATGTGCCAGGTTTCAGAATATTGAGTTGGCCCTACCTTCTTAGACATAACTTCATCCTCACTACAGCCCTGATTATCCTGACTTTCCAGGTGAGGACTTGGAGACTGGGAGAGGTCAGGAGACTTACTTGAGGTCAGGCAATAAAGGGTGGAGCTGGGATGCCCACTTGAATCTGCCCATCCCTAAAGCCAGTGATCTTTTCACAAAGGAGCCATAGCGTCTTCTCTATCTGTGGCTTGACAAGTGAATTATGGAAACACTTGGTAAACCAGAAAGCGAAGCATTGACATTTTAACTAGTAGCATCTGACGCTTCCTTGAGGCTGCTATGGTTTCACTGTGTGTCTTCACTTCACAACCAAACAGGAAGATGCTGTGCATCTTCACAGCCCCTGCCTCCTGGTGCAGGAATGAACCATGGGCCTGCCCTCCACTTTCTTGTCAAATTTTCCTGGTAGGAGCCTACACCCTCTAACAGCTTTACTCTCCAGCTCGGCACCCTCTAACAGCTTTAACTACTCCCCAGCTCTGCACCCTGATGACTGCAACTTGTCATTGCCAGCCCTGATCAATTTTGAGTACTGGCCTTTAATGTATACTTAGGCCTATTAGACCAGCCTTCAACAGGCATCCCAGACTACCACAAAAAAGCTATGCCCATAGCCCCACTGCCCAAACTGCCCTTCCTCTTCTAGCCCCACTGTCTTAGGTCCTGGCATCACTGTTCCTTGGAATTCCCAGCTAGAAACACAGCCATCTTGACTCTCCACCCCCACTCACTCCTCCACCCCCATGTCGAAGGCTGAAGTGGATGTGGAGATGAAACTTTGGGTGCAAGATGTTTATTAAGGATCAACATCTGTGGTCGGGTGTGGTGGCTCACACCTGTAATCCCAGCACTTTGGGAGGCCAAGGTGGGTGGATCACCTGAAATTGGGAGGTCAAGACCAGCCTGGCCAACATGGAGAAACCTGGTCTCTACTAAAAATACAAAAAAAAATTAGACAGGAGTGGTGGCACATGCCTGTGATCCCAGCTACTCAGGAGGCTGAAGCAGGAGAATGAAAAAGTAGGGAATAACTATAAGTAAATATACTTTGGAAAAGTGATTTAAATAGACATTTTAAAAATAAGGAGAGTCACAATTAGCAAAGTAAAGTAGACTCTGAAAGGAGAGGCAGATGTGTATTTCCAAAGAGGGAGTCTATTCTGTTCAGTTTCTACTTTACGAGACATCTAATTTTTAGTGATGGGGTTGGCAACAATTTCCAGTGCATCTGCACCCCTCAGCTCAAGGCTCCCCCTCCTTCCACACATCCTGTGCTCCAGCCACGCCACTCCCAAAGAGGGTCCCTCTCCACACCTCCGGGCCATTGCTCAGGCTGTGCTCTTGGCTTGGACCACCCTTTCCCCACTTCTGTCTCCTCTGTGAGCTTCCTCCCCATCCTTTCTTCCTTCCCCAGAAAGAAGAAATCCCATCCTTTCTTCCTTCTCCAGGAAGAAGTTGTTTGCACGCATCCATTACGACACGGACTGCACTAAATGACAGTTATTGGTGTGCAAGCCCCTCTCCCCTACTAGACCCTAAGCTTGGGGAAGGGGAAGGAACTGTGGACTCTTATCTCTGTACCCACTCCTGGCAGACCACCTGACACAAAATTACCGCCGGTGAAGTATTCACCGGTGAGTTGAGCCATTGTACTTACATAGCACCAATCCATGGCAGCTTGTCTGACTTGGAATTTCACCCTGTATTTTCCAAAGAAAAGAAGTGACTACTGGATTTGCAAGATCTAGTTCAACGTTTCCATTTTATTTTATTTAAGAACTTTTTTGTCTCAGAAAAAGATTACAAAATTCATTTTATAAAATTCATCCAGAGAAATTATTTCAGTCCCGTGTGGTACAAAATACCTTTCCCAAATGGAATAGATGAGTTTATTTAAAAGCCTCTTTTTTCTTTTATTTTTATAACTTTACTTATAGCTTTTTAACAGACTTTCTATTTTAGAACAGTTTTAGGTTTAGAGAAAAATTGAGCAGATAGCACAGAGAGCTCCCATGTACTCTTCACCACACAGTTTCCCCAATTATTAACATTGGCGTGAATGTGGTACATTTGATACAACTGATGAACCAATATTGACACATTCCTATTAACTGAAGTCTGTAGCTCACATTAGGGCTCATGCTTTGTGCTGTACATGCTATGGTGTTTTTGTTTGTTTTTTGTTTTTTGAGACAGAGTCTTGCTCTGTCACCCGTGCTGGATTGCAGTGATGCAATCTCATCTCACTGCAACCCCCACCTCCCAGCTTCAAGCGATTCCCTTGCTTCAGCCTCGCCAAGTAGCTAGGACTACTTGGGGATGTGCACCACCATGCCCAGATAATTTTTTGTATCTTTAGTACAGATGGGGTTTCACCATATTGGCCAGGCTGGTCTCAAACTCCTGATCTTGTGATTCGCCCACCTCAGCCTACCAAAGTACTGGGATTATAGGCATGAGCTACTGCACCTGGCCACATGCTGTAGGTTTTGACCAGTGTCTTGTATCCACCATCACAGTGTCACACTGAACAGTTTCACAGCCCTAACAGCTCCTGCGCTCCACCTCCTCATCCCTCCCTCCCTCCCTCTCCCTGTCCCTGCAGCCTCTGGCAATCACTGATCTTTTCACTGTCTTTGTAATTTTGCCTGTTCCAGAATGTCACATCCTTCCAGTTTTCAGTAACACTCTTACACATTTCAAAAGTTAAAACAGTATGAAAAGGTACCACTGAGAACTCTTTCCCACCCCGTCCCAGTCCTGTTCCCCATTATCCTACTACCCCAGGGAAACCACTTGTATTAGCCTTTGTCTAGCTTTTATTTATGCAAATGTATTTTCTCATTTCCTTTCTTTCTTACACAATTAACAGCATATTAGTAGTAGTATACTATATGCACTGATCTTTTTTTTTTTTTTTTGAAATGGAGTCTCACTCTGTCACTCAGGCTGGAGTGCAGTGGTGCCATCTCGGCTCACTGCAACCTCCGCCTCCCAGGTTGGAGCAATTCTCCTGCCTCAGTCTCCCAAGTAGCTGGGACTACAGGCGCCTGCCACCATGCCCAGCTAATTTTTGTATATATATATTTTTAAGACAGAGTTTCACTCTTGTTGCCCAGGCTGGAGTGCAATGGCATGATCTCAGCTTACCGCAACCTCTGCCTCCCGAATTCAAGCTATTTTCCTAGCTCAGTCTCCCAAGTAGCTGGGTTTACAAGCATGTGCCACCTCACCTGGCTAATGTGTTTTTAGTAGAAATGGGGTTTCTCCATGTTGGTCAGGCTAGTCTCGAACTCCCCACCTCAGGTGATCCACCTGCTTTGGCCTTCCAAAATGCTGGGATTACAGGCGTGAGCCACCATGCCTGGCCAATTTTTTGTATTTTTAGTAGAGGGGGTTTCACCATGTTAGACAGGATGGTCTCGATCTCCTTACCTCGTGATCTGCCCACCTCAGCCTCCCAAAGTGCTGGGATTACAGGCGTGAGCCACTACACCCAGCCCCTGTATCTTCCTTTTTCTTTTTAATGGTAATTATTATTTTAATAAAATTCTTCACTGAGAGCAGGGAGGTCACTTTACTTTTCCAGAAGTCACATAATACATGGTAGTATCAAAGAAATATCTGCTGAGAGAAATACTATTTTGGGAAATAGTTAATAATTTTATAATATGCAGTAGGAGCAGACACATGAACAACTACAACGTGGGATACAAGTTTGGTCAAATAATCAGGAGAAAAAAGAATAAAAATTGCACTGGCAAATGGTTGTCCAGATTTTCCAAGTCCGATTTTATAGTGCTGTGAAGAAAAGTATGAATATGAGACTCTCAGTAAACATTTGTGCATCCGTGAACATTGAATTATTTAGGTTTAAAGATAAAATTTTGGAAAACTAAAAATAATTTTTGTAATTTCAAAGTAAAATAATCTTTACCTTGAGAAAACACGTTGTAACTGTGATAAACCATAGCACTTATTCATATGTATAAGGTAAAAACACAGACATTATTCTCGTTACTTAAGGTGGGAGGAGGAATAATTGTGAAAATTATGTTTCAATTTTCCAGTCTGGCCAACATGGCAAAACCTTGTCTCTAATACAAATACAAAAATTAGCCAGGTGTGATGGCATGTGCCTGTAATCCCAGGTACTCAGGAGACTGAGGCACAAGAATCTCTTGAACCCGGGAGGCGGAGGTTGAAGTGAGCTAAGATCTCGCCATTGTACTCCAGCCTGGGTGAGAGAGCAAGACTTGGTCTCAAAAAACAAAACAAAACAATTTTCATCCTTAAAGTGTAGCTCAGAAAGATTTAGAGTAAGAGCATATATTTTGCTCACAGCATATATGTTAGGAAACAAAAGATGCTAATTAAATATAAATTAGCGGTAAAGTTGTCTATTTTTTTCCCCTATCATGTCTCATAAGGTAATAGATCACAAATATATTTTAGAATTTTTCTTAAGTTTTAAGAATCCAAAAGATGGCCAAGTGCAATGGCTCACACCTGTAATCCCAGCACTTTGGGAGGCTGAGGCGGGTGGATCACCTGAGGTCAGGAGTTCAAGACCAGCCTGGCCAACATGGTGAAACCCTCTCTCTACTGAAAATACAAAATTAGCCAGGCATGGTAGTGCATGCCTTTAATCCCAGCTACTCGGGAGGCTGAGGCAGGAGGATCGCCTAAGCCCAGGAGGCAGAAGTTGCAGTGAACCGAGATTGCACCACTGCACTCCACCCTGGCGATAGAGTGAGTCTCCTTCTCAAAAAAAAAAAAAAAAAAAAGAAGAAGTGAGCCAAGAGCTCAAAAGGACCATACCTGTGTGATGGGATTACCCACAAAACCTCAAACAGCCCCTGGACCCATCCTCATGAAAAATATTACTATACAAAACATTTGCCTGCTGGGCTCTGCATGACTGTACATTTCAGTAGAATCAGTTGGAGGTCTGTTAACAGTGATTTTTTTTTCAAAAGCTCTTAAATGGTGGTCATCTTCTGTTCACATGGCTCCACACTCTGAGGTCCCACATCCCTGAAGGTCCGGCCCCTCGGTTACATGGCTGTGCACCTCTTGGGGGCACTCGGGGCCGCATTTACTTTCTTCCTGATGTTTTCTGTTAAAAACAAGAATCTTATTGCCTCTGTCACCTAAGCCCTGCCTCACAGGGCTGGTTTTATGTTTTAATTGCCTGCCAGAGTTTGTGTTAAAAGAAGATGCAACAACTATATTTAAGAACATTTTGGGAAAAGAAAGGTAGCGTCCCTAATCCCTCTACCCTGAAATGCCTCTTAGCTTTTCCACCTTGCCTATAGCAGTTATGGGGTGGTGGTGGGGGATGGGGGGTTCCTTTTTTTCCCTCAATAATATGCTAGAAATATTTTCCTCAGTAATATGCTAGAAATATGTCAGAAATGGTTTTCTTTGTTGCCTCATAACTAATGGAGACTTCACAACTATCAGTGACTGCCTAGTAGCCCTTCTGTGGTTGCCCCATTATGTACCATGTCAATGGATATCACAGCGTTTAAGGCTTTTTCATCATGAACTGATTTTGTTTTTAGCAAGGGCTTAGTACTAGAACCTTCTATCCTGCTTGTCTGATGGTTCCACAGAACACTCTGAACCCCAAATCAGGCTTTTGGGATTGGCATACTCAAATAAGCTGTGATGACCTCAGGAGGTTTATTTGACCAGATTTGACTGGTTCAACTCATATTAAGTCAGTTTTGGTTCCTATGTCTTAATGTTTGTGAAAAAGAAGTCTGAAGATGGTTCCAGGCTTATTCCAAAATGGAAAAAAAAAAAAATATCGAGGTATAGAAGGCTAGTAAGGAAGAGATTATGGATAGCCATCACTGGTTCGGGGGCTGTGACGGTCATAGGGCTCAGTTTGGGCCAACACCCTCGTTGCACAAATGGGGAAACCAGAGCCAGGAGGCACTGTCACTTGCCCAAGGGAAAAGAGGGCAGGGCTCGGGAGAGGAATCTGGAAGGCCTAGAGCCAGCATCACAGCATGCTTGTCTGAGCAGCCCTTGGAGGGCCCTGCTGCATTACAGTGGGGGCCAGCCAGCTCCTGAGAAGAAGCCCAGCAGAGTACGCTCTTACCAGCCAGGCTCCTCCTGCCAATGGCCACAAGGCCCTCAAACAGCGCTTTGCTGGGGTTCTCACCAGCCGTGGCCACGCCATGCAGCCAAATGAGCAGCATTCGGTGGCCATGCTCCTGATAGCTCCTGGTGCCTGAGGACAATGAGGAAGGAGAGAGAGAGAGGGAGAAGGAGCCCATGGAGCCCCTTGACCAGAGCGCCCATCTATGCCACCCTGTACCACCTCCTGAGCATGCCCAGGTGGGACAGAGGCCAAAAGCCTCCAAGGCCCTTCTCCATGCTCCAGCCAAGCTCAGTCTGGAGATGGGTAAGGCGAGTGGAGGAGCAGCTTCTCAGATAGGGTGGGAAGGGTTTGTGTCTTGGTCCCTAGAACCTCCCCAGCCCCAGGCCTTCTCCTGAACACCCACTATACACTCTGTGGATGTTACTCTGAATGAAGAAAGAACTGACATTCATTGCTGTGGCAGCACAAATTGTACACTTCACCCCTCTGGCTGCTCAAAATAATCTGTGCCCTGCATGCTAGTGGCCTAATTTACAGATGAGAATACAGCTTAGTCAGAGACAGAGCTGGCTGCACTGATGGTTCTCAAACTCAGCTGCTCCTTGGAAACACCCAGGGCCCATGTCATTCCCAGAGAGATTCTGATTTACCTGGGTCTGGGTGCAGCCTAGGCATTTAACGGTTTTAAAGCTTCCCAGATGGTTCCAAAATACAACCATGTTTAGAAAGTCCACTGCCCACACTATTCAGTGCTGGCGTGGGGTTAACGTGTTATTAAATCCTGTGATTCAGCTGGCTCTCCTGTGTTAGGGGAACAGACAGATGCTGGACCACACCCATCAGGTTCAGATCACTCTGTTCGCCCCTCTGACCTTCCTTGTCCCTCTTAGGGCCCTCAGCAGGCATGTCCTCACAGTGCTGCCCCTGGTGTGGTGGAACTTCTGCTTGACCCAGCCATCTCAACACCATTTATTGAATATCTCTGCCCCCACCACTGTGTACAAGTGCTTTTTTTATCATGTATGAAAGTTCTTATCCATAGCAGTGTTTACTTTTGGACTCTGCTCTATTCTACTGATCAATTTGCATATTTTTGTGTCAGATATCTCTTTATCTTTTTTCTTTGGGAGGCAGAGTCTCACTCTATCCCCCAGGCTGAAGTGCAGTGGCATGATCTTGGCTCACTGCAACCTCTGCCTCCCGGCTTCAAGCCATTCTCATGCCTCAGCCTTCAGAGTAGCTGGGACTACAGGTGTATGCTGCCACACCCAGCTAATTTTTGGTATTTTTAGTAGAGACAGGGCTTTGCCATGTTGGCCAAGCTGGTCTCAAACTCCTGACCTCAGGTGATCCGCCCACCTCGGCCTCCCAAAGTGCTGGGGTTATAGTTGTGAGCCACAGCTCCTGACCCAGTTATCTCTATGTTAATTTTATTTGGGCTTTATAAAAGGCTGAGTCTGCCTGAGTTAGATCCACTTTATTTCCCCCCCCCCGGAATATTCACTTATATATCCCTGTTTATTGTTTCAGACAAATTATAGAATACTTCAGTCAAGTTTCAAAAACCCAAAGTTTTAATCTAATTAGGGAAAAACCTGATATCTAGATGATAATTTTTCTTGCCATAAATGCGGAATGTCATTCTGTTTACACAAATCATCTTTTATGGTTGAAGCATTATTGTTTTATTCATATGTGTCATCTATATTTGTTCCTTTTCAGGTTTTCCAGATGAAACATACACACCATTATAAATGGAATCTTTTTTAAAAAATTCTCTATCTATATATTTGCCCATTTAGCAATGGTATATAGAAGTTCTGTGGTGTTACTATATTTTCCATATTTAGCCATTTCCTTGAATTCTTTGATCCTTTTTTTTTTTTTTTTTTAGTTGATTCCTCTGGACATCCTATGTATATAAGAATACCATGTGAAATTAATAAGTCTCTCTCTTCCTTTCCAATATTAACATTCCTTATTTCTGTTTCTTTTTCAAACTTTAGTACCAGGGCCAAAATTTCCACATAGATGTTGAATAATAGTGACAACAGCAGGCCCTCTGTTTTGTTTTGTTTGTTTTTTTTTAACCGAGAATGACTTTAGTTTAGGTGTAAACAGTGGGTATCAGTTTGGGCTGATTGGTGAAGAATGTGAAATTCACAATCAGTGGGGAGGGAGAGGCCGAGTGTGCAGACTGTGCAGAGGCCTGGAGGAGGGACAGAGCACCAGGTGTATTGGACAGTGTGAGAACAGGCTGTGGGTTGCAAAGCCTCTTTCCCCAGAAGCACAGAAAACTGACCACACTTCAGGTGCCCCCCACCCCTCTGCCCACTGGTTGCTTGCAGCAAGGAGAGGCAAGGTGGTACCTGTCCACTGTTGCTCGATGGCATAGACATGGGCCTCTGTGAACTCCCAGGAATATGCCAGCTTCTTCCACTCATGGGGCTGCAGAAACCTAGAGGCCAGCTGCCACAACACAGAGCGGAGCTGCTGTGTTTCCTGCCGATGGTCCTGCCTGAAGGACAAGCTCTTCCCAGAGGGGTCACTGGGGTCCTTGCATGAAAGGTGGTCCTGTGGGACAGATCCCAAAAGTGCAGAAGCTGTCCCTCATGATCCTGGACAGAGTCAATGCAGAGCCAAGGCCCTAGGACCCTCCTACCACCTCTGCTGGCCTACGAGCTGGAGTCAGCAAGGGCTGGAGACTTACTGTCCTCTCTTCTGGTTTCTCACTCCATGCCCTGCCTTGATCTCTGGAACCCAAGTTGCTGCCACTGTTCTTCCTCCCGGAATTCCTCTGCTCACCTTCCTGACTCTCAACCTCACTGTCGTGGTCAAAAGACACCCACGTGCCACTTCCAGGGAGGCTTTCCAAATTCCTCCAGTCAGGTGCCTCTCTTTCCTGTGTTTTTTTGTTTGTTTCTGAGATGGAGTTTTGCTCTTGTTGCCCGGGCTAGAGTGCAGTGGCCTGATCTCAGCTAACTGCAACCTCTGCCTCCCGGGTTCAAGTGATTCTCCTGCCTTAGCCTCCCTAGTAGCTGGGATTACAGGCACCCAACATCATGACGGGGTCTTTTTTTTTTTTTTTTTTTTGTATTTTTTTGTGTGTGTGTATTTTTTTTTTTTTTTTTTTTTTTTTTTGAGACAGAGTCTCACTCTGTCGCCAGGTGCCAGACTGGAGTGCAGGGACACATTCTCGGCTCACTGCAACCTCCGCCTCCCAGGTTCAAGCAATTCTCCTGCCTCAGCCTCCCAAGTAGCTGGGACTACAGGCGCACACCACCATGCCCAGCTAGCTTTTGTATTTTTAGTAGAGACAGGGGTTTCACCATGTTGGCCAAGATGGTCTCGATCTCTTGACCTCGTGATCCGCCCGCCCTGGCCTCCCAAAGTGCTGAGATTACAGGCTTGAGCCACCGCGCTCAGCCTTTTTTTTGCATTTTTAATAGAGATGGGATTTCACCACATTGGCCAGACTTGTTCTTGAACTCCCGACCCCAGGTGATCCACCTGCCTCGGCCTCCCTAAGTGCTAGGATTACAGGCATGAACCACTGTGCCCAGCCTCTTTCCTGTGTTCTTTTTTTTTTTTTTTAATTATTTTTTAAAGATGGGGTTTCACCATGTTGGTCAGGCTGGTCTTGAACTCCCAACCTCAGGTGATCCACACGCCTTGGCCTCCAAAGTGCTTGGATTACAGGTGTGACCCACCCCGCCCAGCTCCTGTGTTCTTATAGCATGGGCATCAGCAGAAAGACTCCAAAGCTTTGGCCAAAACTAGGCAGGGCAAGAATCAGATTTGCTGAATTGCAATAGTTAGTAAAGGGTGGGATTACAAAATCCTTTCTAGCAAAGCAGGCAATGAAATTAGAGGTTATGAAGGAATTCTATCATAGCATAAATGAAGCCCACAAAAGCCTAAGCCCATTTAAAGGGAATAGATGCAGAGTTCTGGTTGTTAAATTCAGGGTGAAGAAAATCACCCTGGTGTCTGCAATTCCAAAGTTTACATCATGGTCAACAGTCTCTGGCAATCAATGTGAGGTGAAGCTTGGTCCGCACCTGGGATATTAAAAACTGGTCCCCTGGAGCAGTGTTTTTAGCCCCGTTTGCACATTGAGATCGTCCAGGAGCTTTAAGAACCACTGATGCCTGGCCCCCAGCTCAGAGATTCTATCTGAATTGCTCTGGGGGCCCAGGAGGGGTTTGTGATTCTGATATGCAGCCACTGCCTTAGTGGTGAGGACCTGTAAAGCCTGAAGTGGCTTAGTAATCAGCAGAGAGATGAGTCGGTTAATAAAACCCTCAGTATTAACATTTTGGGATTTTATTTAGGAATAATCTGTTATATATAAAGGGGTTGTAATGTTTAAGAGAATCTAGCATATCAGTGAGAGAACATCTTATGATTCCTACTTAAATTTATCCACCAATTGATTTTGAAACAGTAATTTTTATTTAAAAGGGATTTTAAAAAGTTTACTAAGTTTGTAAACCACACTGAAATGTTTAGGATATTTGAGATTATTTATAAGTTTAAGTTAATGGTCATATTAGAATAATTTAAGAATTTAAGAAGCATTTGAAGTGCTTAAAAAGAAAATCTATTATATTAAATTTATTCATTTCATTTAAATGTTTTAGGTAGTTTAACTAAGTTTAAACACGGGACCCAACATTAATCAAAAGACTTCCTTGAAACTGCCTGGAAAATTTTACTAGTTGTATAAAAAGAATAATAAGATTTATAAAATGGATTTTAAAAAGTTTAAGAAAAACTAGGTTTTAAAATTTGTAATTTACTACATTCAATACAGATGCCCCTTTACTTATGATGGGATTATGTCTCGATACAAATATAAGTTGGCTGGGTGCAGTGGCTCATACCTGTAACTCCAGCTCTTTGGAAGGCTGAGGCGGGTAGATCACAAAGTCAGGAGATCAAGACCATCCTGGCTAACACAGTGAAACCCTGTCTCTACTAAAAATACAAAAAATTAGCCAGGCATGGTGGCACAGGCCTGTGGTCCCAGTTACTCAAGAGGCTGAGGCAGGAGAATCGATTGAACCCAGAAAGCAGAGGTTGTAATGAGCCAAGATTTTGCCACTGCACTCCAGCCTGGGTGACAGAGAGAGACTCTGTTTCCAAAAAAAAAAAAAAAAAAAAAAAACAACAACATTAGTTTAAAATGCATTGAATCTCCCTAACCTACAGGCCATCATAGCTTAGCTTAACCTACAGGAGCTCGGTACACTTACATTAGCTCATAGTGGAGCAAATAATCTAACACAAAGCTGATTTTATAATAAAGTGCTGAATGTCCCATATAATTTATTGAATACTGAAGTGAAAAGCAGTATGGCTGCATGGGTACTTAAAGTATGGTTTCTACTTAATGTGAATCGCTTTTGTGCCATCATGAAGTACATAAGCCAAACCATTGTGATTGGGGACCATCTGTATTAACTTTGAAAAGTGAAGTAAAGTAAATGCAAACTTATTTTCTGTGTATAAAAACAACCCAAGGACACCAAAAAAACTCCCTGCCCCCATTTGCTAACTGGATTAGCAAACATTCTGCCAATTTTCTGTCCCAAGTCCACAGCAGACATTGCCAATCAATCCCAGCACACTTACTTCTGGCTCAGAAAGCTGCCCAAGCATAGCATCCCAAGCAGCAGTTCCAATCACCTGGAGATGGCATGACATGGAATCTGCCATCTCTTTTTCACACATGTCTGTATATATTCACACATGCATGCATTCATCAGCCAGAAGCTACAGCAGTGTCTGGCAGTATCTCCACTCTGGCATGGACCTCAGTCTGCCTTGTTTCAGTGTGTTTGGACACTTGCCCATCACCAGATCCTCACAAACAACTGTGACAGCATACAAGGTGATGATTTTCACCCACTTGGAGACTGAGAGACTCAGAATTGGTCAGGGCTGGGGTTCAAAGCCAGCTCCATCTGGAGCCATAATCACTCCCTTTAAGATAAAGCGTAGGGCCTCCATACCTTCTCCCATCTGTAGAAACGATCAGCTTTTATGATCATGTCCACCAGGCTGATATGGTTGCTGCGGGCGGCCACTGCCAGGGCAGTTTTTCCCTGCTGCAATTAAGAGGCAAGAAGAGAAGCCAGAGATTCTACAGGAGGGGGTGCATGAGGGCCTCTAACACTGAGGACAAACCCTCCTGCCTACAGGAAGTGGTTTCCAGCAGTCTACGCTGAGAGCAGAAAGGTTTTCTGGTTTTCTGGGCATGATGGGGAAATGGAAAAGTTACAAATAGAATAAAGCAATAGCAATACATAATTCCAATGACCATCTCTTGTGTTTCTTTAGAAATTAGGAAGCTTTAGAGCTTATGAAACTCAGCCCTCATTACTTTGTCAACATCCTCTGTGAAATAGGGGTTCCCACCCACTTTTCAGATAAAAAAACCAGAACCCAGAGATGGGAGCATGGGCTGATCATGTCACCTTTGCCCACCTCCAATCAGGCCTCCTTTTCTCCAGGCCTCCACAGACCTGCAGTGAGATGGGAAGCTCCTCTTTACATCTGGCCAGCTGCCCAGGGCCTAGCTCAAAGCGGGGAGTACCCTCCTAGGTGCAGCTTCAGGGTCTGATCCTGGCCCCCAGCTCTACCCACACCATTGCAGGCTGGCCTCACTGAGTCACATGTGCAAGTGCCCCTCCCCTCATACACCTGTGACCTCCCAGCCTCATACCAAGTCTTTGGCTCTTCTGAGACCATCAGCACCTGCAGAAGTAGCTGTCCAAGATGTACAATGAGCTGGAAGGCTTCCCCAAACCCTGTCTCATATGTGGGGGTTGTTAGGCAGTGCTGTGGTATTCTTCTACTTCCCCACCCCACCAGGTGACTCAGGAGCTTGCAGTCTGATGGGGGCCATAAAGAAGAAAGCAATTATTTCACAGGCCTATACCAGAGACGGGGTGGGGGGACCTCAGTAGAGAGAGGGGAAGGTGGTAGAGGAGGAGGCTGCATTTGAGCTGGTATAGAAAGGATGGCAGTCCTTGAAAACCCTGAGAGGGAGGAGGCATTTGTAGCAGGGTCTTTGGCAAAGGGGGAGCCATGAAAGCCTGAAGCGAGGTGGGTTGTAAGCAGAGGTACCTTATCTCTCAGGTTTAAGTCAACCCCAGCAACGAGGAGCATCTCTGCTATGTCCTGCCACGCGTGCTCTGCAGCCAGGTGAAGGGGCGTCTGCTGCCTCTAGGGGAGAAGCCAAGGGAACAGGTGAGTGAAAAGCATGTAGGGGTGGCCTGCCATCCTAAGTCAAACCCCACAATGATGCTAGTATATTTCTTCTAGTCTTTTCTTTAATGCAAAATGTTTTTAGCTTGTTGGTTTTACATACATGAGATCATCCTATATGTATGTACATTTTTTTTTTTTTTTTGAGACAGAGTTTCACTCTTGTTACCCAGGCTGGAGTGCAATGGCGCGGTCTCGGCTCACCGCAACCTCCGCCTCCTGGGTTCAGGTGATTCTCCTGCCTCAGCCTCCTGAATAGCTGGGATTATAGGCACGCGTCATCGTGCCCAGCTAATTTTTTGTATTTTTAGTAGAGACGGGGTTTCACCATGTTGACCAGGATTGTCTCAATCTCTTGACTTCGTGATCCACCCGCCTCGGCCTCCCAAAGTGCTGGGATTACAGGCGGGAGCCACCGCGCCCGGCCCTAAGTATGTACATTTTGCATCTTATTTTTTTACCCCAACATACACTTTTTATGCACTATAAACTCTGATAAACACCATTTTGATAACTCCGTAAGAGTCTATTTATACCATAATTTACCTGCTTCCCTATTTCCCTATGATTACATATTTAGGCCATTTTCTTTTTTTTTTTTGAGACGGAGTTTTGCTGTTGTTGCCCGGGCTGGAGTGCAGTGGTGTGATCTCGGCTCACTACAACCTCCATCTCCCAGGTTCAAGTGATTCTCTGCTTCAGCCTCCTGAGTAGCTGGGATTACAAGCGCCCACCACCATACCCAGCTAATTTTGTATTTTTAGTAGAGACAGGGTTTCACCGTGTTAGCCAGGATGGTCTTGATCTCCTGACCTTGTGATCCACCCGCCTCAGCCTCCCAAAGTGCTGGGATTACAGGCACGAGCCACTATGCCCAGCTAGGCCATTTTCAAATTGAAGACTGATAAACAATACTGCAATGAATATCTCTATGCATGAGCTTTTAATATGTTTCTCAAGGCTCAGGTCCCAGCGGTGCTAATGCATATCATTTAAAGATATATGATATATTCTGCCAAATTGCTTTCAACTCCCAGTGGCTCTGTGTGCCATGCCCTTGCTGGTATTGAGAATTATATGGCTGGTGGGTAGATTGTGGGGATAGGATTTAAAAGGGCTCTTTACTGATCACAGCTTCAGGACTCAGAGGACTCTTGTTACACAAGACTGCCTCAGTCACCCCTGCCCTGGGAATTTTCCCTAAGGAAAAAAAGCAATGAAAGGAAAAGGTTGAATGTAAAAAGATGTTCACTGCAATGTTATAGATCATGGCCAAACTTGGGAACACCCAAAATGTTCAAAAGAGGAGAATGATGAACAAAATGATATTTCCTTCAACAACTATTCAAATTACCTTTTAAGAGCTAAAAAAGCAATTCCTCAACTCTGGGTCATGCTAGGAGACCACAGCCAAGCCCTGCTAAGCCTGGGAGGGTTACCAGAAGCTCCCTGGGGCCTGGATGGTCTCTGTAGCCACTTACATTGTCCATGGCATTCAAGTCACTGTCAGAGTTCATGAAGAGCCGGACCAAGGCAGGGAAGTTGTGCCTGACAGCGAGGTGCATAGGAGAGGCGCCCTGCTGTGGGAGGAGATACACGGATCAATGAGTTCCTCCCAGGACTGACCAGCTGGAGGCTGGTGCTGGGGACAGGAGGAAGGAAGGGTACAGTGCTTCTGGGTTTGGCCCTTTTAGCTTCTTGGATGACATGGGTGGCCTTAGGCAATTATGGTCGCAAAGCTTGAATTCCTGGAGCCCAAAACTGAGCCCCTAGGTGGGTGAGGGTCTGAAGACACAAGGGTGAGACCCCTGCTATGTCAGGAACTCACTATGTGACCTTGGGCAAGTCATTTCCCTTCTCTGCTACTCTTCATCTGTCAAGTGACGTTTGCCATGGTCCCTCCTAGCAACAATACCTTAAGATTCTCAGCCGGCCACCATGGCTCATGCCTGTAATCCCAGCACTTTGGTAGGCCGAGGCAGGCGCATCACCTGAGGTCAGGAGTTCAAGACCAGCCTGGCCAACATGGTGAAACCCTGTCTCTATTAAAAATATAAAAATCAGGCCGGGCGCAGTGGCTCAAGCCTGTAATCCCAGCACTTTGGGAGGCCAAGGCGGGTGGATCACCAGGTCGAGAGATCGAGACCATCCTGGTCAACATGGTGAAACCCCGTCTCTACTAAAAATACAAAAAATTAGCTGGGCATGGTGGCGCGTGCCTGTAATCCCAGCTACTCAGGAGGCTGAGGCAGGAGAATTGCCTGAACCCAGGAGGCGGAGGTTGCGGTGAGCCGAGATCGCGCCATTGCACTCCAGCCTGGGTAACAAGAGTGAAACTCCATCTCAAAAAAAAAAAAAAAAAAAAAAATTTAAAAATCAGCCAGGCATGGTGGCAGGCACCCATAATCCCAGCTACTCAGGAGGCTGAGGCAGGAGAATTGCTTGAACCTGGGAGGTGGAGGTTGCAGTGAGCCAAGATCTCGCCACTGCACTCCAGCCTGGGCAACAGAGCAAGACTCTCTCTCAAAAAAAAAACAAAAAACAACAACCACCCCAATGCATAAATGAGCAGAAAACAAGAACTGATAATCCATTTCAGAGGAATTGAGAGCTTAGTTTCTGATCCTATTCCAGCTACAACAGTATTTGACTTTCCTAAGTGCTGCCAGCTCCCCTACTCCTGGCCCACATCCCAACCCCAAGGGTCTGATGTGCCCATTTCCCCCTGTTTCATCAGTGTGCTCATGGAAGGCTTTGCAATGGAGACCCCCTTCAACTCTTGTACCCACACTTACATGATCAGCTACGTTGGTGCAGCCTCCTGCGTGGATGAGGGCTCGAGACACATCCTCTGAGCCACTGAGGGCTGCATAGTGAAGGCAGCTCAGGTTTTTCTAGAAGGAAACAGGCATCAATGCAATGTCACAAGGACCCCTCCTGCAAAGAGGTTTGTAGGCCGGGCGCGGTGGCTCAAGCCTGTAGTCCCAGCACTTTGGGAGGCCGAGGCCAGTGGATCACGAGGTCAAGAGATCGAGACCATCCTGGTCAACATGGTGAAACCCCGTCTCTACTAAAAATACAAAAAAAATTAGCTGGGCATGGCGGCGCGTGCCTGTAATCCCAGCTACTCAGGAGGCTGAGGCAGGAGAATTGCCTGAACCCAGGAGGTGGAGGTTGCAGTGAGCCGAGATAGCGCCATTGCACTCCAGCCTGGGTAACAAAAGTGAAACTCTGTCTCAAAAAAAAAAAAGAGGTTTGTAAAGCTCTTTGAGATTCATTTTTCCATTTGAGTGTCACAACCCCTCTGGGAGTATCATCCCCAATAAACTGAAGCTGGAAAATCAATTACTTTCCCAGGCCTGGTGACCAGTAAAAGAAAATCACTATGGTCTCAGTCTTTTCCTCACCTCCTATTACAAATGCAGGAATGTAGACTAAAGCCTGCCCAATTCCATGGCTGGTAAAGACATGCAGATGCTCGACTCTAAGGAATTGGTTTCTTTTTTTTTATGAGACAGAGTCTTGCTCTGCCACCCAGACTGGAGTGCAGAGGCACGATCTCAGCTCACTGCAACCTCCACCTCCCAGGTTGAAGCAATTCTTCTGCCTCAGCCTCCTGGGTAGCTGGAATTACAGGTACCCGCCACCACACCCAGCTAATTTTTGTATTTTTAGTAAAGACAGGTTTTCACCATGTTGGCCAGGCTGGTCTTGAACTCCTCACCCTGTGATCCACCCGTCTTGGCCTCCCAATGTGCTGGGATTACAGGTGTGAGCTACTGGGGTGGAGGTGGTTTTCAAAAAGGAAAACAAGTAAGATTTGCCAGTACAGAGCAGACACCACCCAGCATGCACTGCTCAGCACAAGCTGGTCTTGGCAAATCCAACAGGATCCTGGCAGAGCCAGAATGGACACATGATCTCAGTGGGCCTCAAAGTCTCTTTCAGTCAAAGCCCAACCTGGCCCAGTGATCACCTTGCACAAGGTACACACCAGGCAAGTCCCACTAAGGTGATCCACTGTCTCAGTGTGCCCAGGATTGAAGAGTTCGAGATGTGGGACTTTCCATTTTAAAATCAGGACAGTATGGGACAAACCAGGACCAGCTAGCCATCCTGCTAAACTCCCAACTGAGTGAGCACCTGGGGTGTGCAGGACTCAGTCCATCTCACAGTGGGAAATGCAATCATCGTGGGCTTGCTGCCTCCTCCCAGACTCTGCAGCATGACATTCTAAGAGGACTGGGAGTGCTGAAATGGAATGTGGCCTCTGCCAGAAACTGCAAGCGGAGGTTGGAGCATAAGCCCTGGCGTGATGAACAGCTCCAGCCCCCACCCAGTGGCCACCCAGCTGGGTGTAACCGCCTCAGTCTCTCTTTTATTTTTTTCTTGAGACAGGGTCTCACTCTGTCGCCCAGGCTGGAGTGCAGAGGTACAATCATAGCTCACTGCAGCCTCAAACTCCTGGCTCAAGCAATCTTCCAGCTTCAGCCTCCCAAAGTGCTGGGATTACAGACATGAGCCACCTTACCCAACCTACTTTTTTTTTTTTTTTTTTTTTTTTACAAAGCCAGTCAAATTAAGCAGTGGGGAAATAATTTTTTTTTTTTTTTTGAGACAGAGTTTCGCTCTTGTTACCCAGGCTGGAGTGCAATGACGCGATCTCGGCTCACCGCAACCTCCGCCTCCTGGGTTCAGGCAATTCTCCTGCCTCAGCCTCCTGAGTAGCTGGGATTATAGGCACGCACCACCATGCCCAGCTAATTTTTTGTATTTTTAATAGAGACGGGGTTTCACCTTGTTGACCAGGATGGTCTTGATCTCTTGACCTCGTGATCCACCCGCCTTGGCCTCCCAAAGTGCTCGGATTACAGGCTTGAGCCACCGCGCCCGGCTGGGAAATAATTTTTTTAGCATAACATTTTAATTCTCTGTTTTTGAACTGTTTTTGCTATTATTTATATTGTTGATTTTTTGGTTTTAATTTTTGAGATGGAGTCTGGCTCTTGTCGCCCAGGCTGGAGTGCAGTGGCACAATATTGGCTCACTACAACCTCCACCTCCTGGGTTCAAGCAAGTCTCCTGCCTCAGCCTCCTGAGTAGCTTGGACTGCAGGCTCTTGCCACCATGCCCAGCTAATTTTTTTTATTTTTATTTTTATTTTTTGGATTTTTAGTAGAGATGGGGTTTCACTGTGTTAGCCAGGACGGTCTTGATCTCCTGATCTCGTGATCTAACCACCTCAGCCTCCCAAAGTGCTGGGATTACAGGTGTGAGCCACCATGCCTGGTCATATTATTTATTATTAATATTTCTGCTATACTATTGACATTTAGAACAAAGAAAGAATTACAGAACCTGAAGCCATTCAACCAGCCAGAAAGGTTATTTGTCACTGATTCAAAAATAAAAAGCAAAGCAAAAACACCAACTCACTACCTAAAGAAAGGCCACAACCCAGCTTTCCAAGTCATAGAGAAGAATTTCTACTGGCAGAATTGATGAAGACAGTGGGGAGAGAGAGAAGAGGTTCTTCCAGGGTCACACAAGCCCCAGCTCTGTCAGGGGAAAGTTTCACCAGTGGGTGGCACTCTGGAGTCAGGGGAACAGGCTTCAATACTCAGCTTTGCCTCTTACTAGCTTGTGAACCTGAAGAAGTGCCCTCTAAGCTCCAGTTTTCTCATCTGCAAAATGGGTGGAATTTTTCTGAGGTAACAGTTATGAAGGGGCTTTGTGAACTATCAAGAGCTCAACAAATAGAAGACAATAACAGGGCCAGGTGCAATGGCTCCCGCCTATAATCCTAGCATTTTGGGAGGCTGAGGTGGGCAGATCACTTGAGGTCAAGAGTTCAAGACCAGCCTGGCCAACATGGTGAAATTCCATCTCTACCAAAAAAATACAAAAATTAGCCGGGTATGGTGGCATACACCTGTAGTTCCAGCTACTCAGGAGACTGAGGCAGGAAAACTGCTTGAACTCGGGAGGCGGAGGTTGCAGTGAGCCAAGATGGCGCCATTGCTATCCAGCCTGGGTGACGGAGACCCATCTCAAAAAAAAAAAGACACTAACAGGTGTTGAGGTGTTGGGCCGTATTACGTTCTGTGCACTGTGTTAGGTATTTAATCCTCACAACTATGTAAAAAAGTAAATGTCGGCCGGGCACGGTGGTTCAAGCCTCTAATCCCAGCACTTTGGGAGGCCGAGGCGGGTGGATCACGAGGTCAAGAGATCGAGACCATCCTGGTCAACATGGTGAAACCCTGTCTCTACTAAAAATATAAAAAATTAGCTGGGCATGGTGGCACGTGCCTGTAATCCCAGCTACTCAGGAGGCTGAGGCAGGAGAATTGCCTGAACCCAGGAGGCGGAGGTTGCGGTGAGCCGAGATCGTGCCATTGCACTCCAGCCTGGGTAACAAGAGCGAAACTCTGTCTCAAAAAAAAAAAAAAAAAAAGTAAATGTCATCTCACTTTATAGTTGGGAAACAAGGCTCAGAGAGGTTAAGTAACTTGCTCTGGGTCACAGGGCTCAGCAGTGGAGAAGCCAAGATCAGAACCTGGCCTGCTACCTAGAAGCCTCTATTCACTCAGCATTCAGGAATCACTGTGGCCGTTACTTCCGACATGGTTATGGCTCAGCAGCCAAGAGCAGACGGCAGTCTTGGGAGGGCCTTGTTACCTGGGTGAGCGCATTCACACTGCTCCCAGCCCTAAGAAGGAGCTGCACACAGTCAAGGTAGGTCCCCTCAACAGCCGCATGCAGGGCGGTCAGACCTTCCTGCAACACACAAGGAGAGTGATGAGGACGGCAGGGAGGCCCACCCAAGGGACCCCCAATCCCACAGTGAGAGGACACCTCTTCTGCCTCGGCCCCAGGGCCCCTTGAGCTCTCCACTGCCCTGCCCCTGGGAACAATGAGCTTTCTTGTTTGTGGTCACATGAGCCTCACGCTGATGTTCTCACTTTGTGGAGCACACGCATGGCATAATAGTCACTCCTGGCTCCACATCTCTGCTCACGTTCTTCCCCTATCAGGCTGTCTCAGCTCCTCCCTGATGTCTATTTCCTCCTACTCCAGGAAGCCCTCCCTGACCATCCTGTCCATGGTGACTTCTCCCTTCCTTGAACAAACACTCTCTGTCTCACTTCTTTGGTGATCCATCATGCCAAGTGCCACCACTAAGCCTGGAGTTCAGTGCTGCTGCTTGTCATTCCCTAGTGGACTCTCAGTGTGAGATCATGCCCTCAGCCTCCTCACCATGGGCTGAGGCTTCCTCAAAGGCAGACAGCAAGCCAGGGTCACACATCTCAGCATCCCCCAAGTGGTGACTCACCGCATTCTGCTCCTCCAGGTCCAGCCCGATGTCCACAAGTCGCTGCAGCACAGCCACATGGCCCCGGCCAGCAGCCAGGTGAAGGGCTGTGTTCCCCTCCTGCCAGAAAAAGGGTTCCTGAGAGGCCAGCAGACCACAGAGCCCCAGAATCACAGAGCTGCGATGAGCTGCAGCCATGCACACTGGGTGGGTGCCACCCTGCACCTGAGAACTGTGCCAAAAACTACAACCGGGGGCCTGTTCAAGGGCCAGGCCTGGTCTTTCTTTCGTTACACTTTAAAGCAGGTGCATTGCTTAAAAATTAAACAAAACCAGTTCTACTTTCCATGTACCCATCTGAAGCCAGTCCCTCCTTGGGTCTCCCAAATCCATCTCTTCTAACTGCTCAAGGTCCCAGCAACTCTCCCCTGAGCTCATGCTATTCCTGGCAGCTGCTTGGCTCAGTCACTCGCCTCCCTCAAGTCTGTGTGTGAGACATTGATTTCTCACTGAGTAGCATGGCCTACCCCGCCCACATTCTGAAACTGCAAACCCTACCTCTGTCCTCCTGAGCCTATTTTCCTGCCCTGCTTTTCCTTTCCCCACCATGTGGATCACCTGCTAACACACTGTCACTGACTGTGCACTTAGTGTTTATTGTCTGACTCGTTTTTTTCTTTTAATTTTACTTTAAGTTCTAGGATACAGGTGTAAAACGTGCAGGTTTGTTACAAAGGTAAACGTGTGCCATGGTGGTTTGCTGCATCTCTCAACCGGTCACCTAGGTATTAAGCCCCACATGCATTAGCTATTTGTCCTGATGCTCTCCCTCCCCTCACCCCACAACAGGCCCTGGTATGTGATGTGTCCATATGGTTCTCATTGTTCAGCTCGTACTTATGAATGAGATCATGCAGTTTTCTGGTTTTCTGTTCCTGTGTTAGTTTGCTAAGGATGGTGGCTTCCAGCTTCATCTAGGTCCCTGCAAAGGACATTATCTCATTCCTTTTTTTTTTTTTTTTTTTTTTTTTTGAGACGGAGTTTCACTCTTGTTGCCTAGGCTGGAGTGCAATGGCGCGATCTTGGCTTACCACAACCTCCGCCTCCTGGGTTCAAGCAATTCTCCTGCCTCAGCCTCCTGAGTAGCTGCGATTACAGGCACGTGCCACCATGCCCAGCTAATTTTTTTTTTGTAGTTTTAGTAGAGACGGGGTTTCACCATGTTGACCAGGATGGTCTCGATCTCTTGACCTCGTGATCCACCCGCCTCAGCCTCCCAAAGTGCTGGGATTACAGGCTTGAGCCACCACGCCCAGCTTATCTCATTCCTTTTTATGGCTGCATAGTATTCCATGGTGTATATGTACCACATTTTTTTAATCCAGTCTATCATTGATGGGCATTTGGGTTGGTTCCACATGTCGACTCTTCTTGCTGGAACATAAGCACCAGAGGAGCAGGGCTGTGCATCTATTTTGTTCTCTGAAGTTTCCTTAAGTGCCTAGAATAGGGCCTGGGGCATATGGCCAACACTCAGTAGAGTGTTCAATGAGTCAGTAATGTAGGAGGGTCTTCAGGTGATCATATCTCAAGAGAGCTTGACATGTATCCTCTGGAACTTGAGTTGCTTTGCACTTGGAAAGTCTACAAGTGGGAGAGAGATCCAAGATGGCTGATCACTAGCAGCTTGGGATTGTGGCTCCCAGTGAAAGCATAGAGAACGAGAGGACGCCACACTTTCAGACAAATTTTTGTTGCTCACACACCAGAAGATTCCCAGCAGAGGAGCCCCACGGGTCGCCAGCACGACTCTTGTGGCTGGTGAGGCAGTTTTGCCGCTGCCTTGGTTCAGCGGTTCTTGATGCAGAGTCAGAAAAGCACCATCAATCTTAACACCACTGTTTTGGCTGGCGCAGTGGGTTGCTCAGATTTTAGCGCTGGGAATCAACAATTTGGATGTCCACTCAGAAACCCAATTACAAAGATGGTAATTATGAAGACCACAGATGGATAAATCTAAAATGAAGGGAAGAAACCAGCCTAAAAATGCTGAGAATACCCAAAAACAGAATGCCTCTCCCTCTACAGGGGATCACAGTTCCTCATCAGCAACGGAACAAAGTCTGATGGAGAACGAGTGTGTTCCATTATCAGAAGCAGGCTTCAAAAGGTGGATGATAAGAAACTTCTGGGAATTAAAAGAACTTGTTCTAACCCAATGCAAAGAAACTAAGAATTTTGAAAAAAGATTTGATGAAATGTTAACAAGAATACACAATTTAGAGAGGAATATAAGTGAATTAATGGAGCTGAAAAACACAATATGAGAACTTCACGAAGTATGCACAAGTTTTAACAGCCAAATTGATCAAGCAGAAGAAAGGGTATCAGAGGTCGAAGACCAACTTAATGAAATAAAACGAGAAGACAAGATTAGAGAAAAAAGGATAAAAAGGAACGAGCAAGAAATATGGAACTATATGAAAAGACCTAATCTACGTTTGATAGGTGTACCTGAATGTGATGAAGAGAATCAATCCAAGCTGGAAAATATGCTTCAGGATATTATTCAGGAAAATTTTCCCAACCTTGCAAGGCAGGACAATATTCAACTCCAGGTAATACAGAGAACACCATAAAGATATTCCTCAAGAAGACCAACTTCAAGGCACATAATCGCCAGATTCACCAGGGTTGAAATGAAGGAGAAAGTACTGAGGGCAGCCAGAGAAAAAGTTCAGGTTACCCATACAGGGAAGCCTATCAGACTCACAGCAGATCTCTCAGCAGAAACCCTACAAGCCAGAAGAGAGTGGGGGCCAATATTCTACATCCTTAAAGAAAAGAGCTTTCAATCCAGAATTTTACATCCAGCCAAGTTAAGCTTCATAAGCAAAGGAAAAATAAAATCTTTTGTGAACAAGCAAGCACTCAGAGATTTCATCACCACCAGGCCTGCTTTACAAGAGCTTCTGAAAGAACCACTACACATAGAAAGGAACAACCAGTATCGGCCTTTCTAAAAAAATACCAAAAAGTAAAGAGCATCAACATAATCAAGAATTTACATCAACTAATGGGCAAAACAGCCAGCTAACATTAAATGGCAGTATTAAACTCACATAAATTATTATTAATTCTAAATTTAAATCGACTAAATCTCCTAATCCAAAGACAGAGGCAAAAAAAGCCAAATCCCATCAGTATGTTGCATCCAGACCCATCTCACATTCATGGATACATAAAGACTTAAAATTAAGGGATGGAGAAAGATTTACCAACCAAATGGAGAGCAAAAATAAATAAATAAATAAAGCAGGAGTTGCAATTTTTGCCTCTGATAAAATAGACTTCAAGCAACAAAGATCATAAGAAGCAAAGGACATTAGATAATGATAAAAGGATCTATGCAACAAGAAAAGCTAAAGATCCTAAATATATATACACCCAATACAGGAATACCCAGATATATAAGACTTATAAAGAGACTTAGACTCCCACACAATAATAGTGGGAGACCTCAACATCAATATTAGACAGATCAATGAGACAGAAAATTAGCAATGATATCCAGGATTTGAACTCAGATCTGGAACAAGACTTGTTTACACTGGGTATGCAAACACAACCATGGTCAGGTAGTCTCTTACCTGCTAAAATCAGGAGCTGACAAAGAAATTCTTACCACGAAAGGAGAAATGCCAGTTCAGTTAACATCAAGGAGAGAAATCAGAAAGATTATGGGAGTGGAAGAAGATGATGACGATGATGACAACCTTCCCCAGCTGAAGGAGTCAGAACTGCCCTTTATTCCCAACTAAAGGGGCTAACCCAGCCTTCCCTTTTATCTACACACCCACAGCAGAGGACTCAGCCCAGATGCAGAATGGGGGCCCCTCCACAACTCCTGCATCACCCCCTGCAAATGGCTCACCTCCACTGCTTTCCCCTGGGGAACCTCCCCTCTTAGGGGCCTTTCCCCGGGACCATACTTCTCTGGCACTAGTTCAGAATGGTGATGTGTCTGCCCCCTCTGCCATACTCAGAACACCAGAAAGCACAAAACCGGGTCCTGTTTGTCAGCCACCAGTGAGTCAGAGCTGCTCCCTATTTTCTTCTGTCCCGTCCAAGCCACCAGTGTCTCTGGAGTCTCAAAATGGGACATGTGCAGGACCAGCGCCAGCATTCCAGCCATTTTTCTTCACTGGAGCATTTCCATTTAATATGCAAGGTAACCCCTCATCAGCAAACAGCCTCTGCAACAGGGGAGTTGGCATCCAGAGGGGTGGGATTTAATTAGGATTTTTTGGGTATAATTTCAAACTTACAGAAAAGTTACATGGCTAGCATAAGGAACTCCCTTTACTTAGATTCACAAATTAACTTTTTGCCTTTTACCCTGATATACTTCAGTATTCTTTCCATTATAATATCTTTCCAAAAAAAAAAAAAAAAAAAGATAGGAAAGTCTAAAGGTGACAGGGACATAGCCAAGAGAAGCAGCTGCATTGGGCAGGGCAGAGATCCCAACGTACTTTGTATTAGAAGTGGCCCCGGCCGGGCGCGGTGGCTCAAGCCTGTAATCCCAGCACTCTGGGAGGCCGAGGCGGGTGGATCACGAGGTCAAGAGATCGAGACCATCCGGGTCAACATGGTGAAACCCCGTCTCTACTAAAAATACAAAAAATTAGCTGGGCATGGTGGCGCGTGCCTGTAATCCCAGCTACTCAGGAGGCTGAGGCAGGAGAATTGCCTGAATCCAGGAGGCGGAGGTTGCAGTGAGCCGAGATCACGCCATTGCACTCCAGCCTGGGTAACAAGAGCGAAACTCTGTCTCAAAAAAAAAAAAAAAAAAAAGAAGTGGCCCCTCCTGAGGTCTTCCTGCTTGAGGTTGTCCTTTAAAGGGATCTCCCTGCCAGGCACAGTGCCTCACACCTGTAATCACAGCACTTTGGGAGGCTGAGATGGGCAGATAGCTTGAGCCCAGGAATTCCAGCCTGGGCAATAAAGTGAGACTCTGTCTCTACAAAAAATACAAAAATTAGCAAGATGTGGTGGTGCATGCCTATAGTCCCAGGTAGTGGAGAGACTGAGGCAGGAGGATTGCTTGAGCATGAAGAGTTGAGGCTGCAGTGAGCTGTGATTGCACAACTACACTACAGCCTGGGCAACAGAGCAAGATCTTGTCTCAAAAAAAAAAAAGTTGAATTCAGCTAAAAATAATAATATTTTAAAATATTTTTTTAAAGCCCTGAACAGCTTTGTCTTCCCCTCCTTGCCAGCTTCTTTGCAGACACACATAGCTCCTGTAGGCTGGCTGCTGTGCGCTGGGACCAGCAGTAGGAAATGCAGTCACAGCGTGAAATCTCTGTGTTCAGAGACATGAAGGCAGTGGGTGAACCAGGAAGGGCCAACACGTGCCCCCAGTTAGCAGGGTGAGGAGACCATGGCAGGGCTTTCCTCTTCCTTCTGGGTTATAAATATCCATGTCCTGCCATTTGAAGTTGCAAGTGGCACACAGATGCCTGACAGGCACTCACTTTCCTGGGCAGGGCAGGGGGCTCGGAGGCAGGAGAGCTGGGCAGAAGGCAGCCTTGGTGTGAGCCTGGGGCCCTCTCGCCTCCACCCTGGGGATGTCCAGCATCTCCACCTTTGTGAGGCCTGGACAGCAACACCTCGCCCTTCCAAGTGGAGATCATCACTCTCTCTGGGCTCGCTAAGCCTCCCTATCATTCTAGAGTGCATGTGGCGTGACCTCTGTTGTTATTGACTCTAAGAGGTCTATCCCCCTTAGCAGGCCTTGAAAAACTTACTGTGCCCCCTCCCCAGATGAAAGTGAAAATGAAAACACTCCTATCCTGAAAATGCAAAACTTAACAAGGGTATGCAATTTTAAAAGCTTCTTTGCAGAATTTCTGGTTGCAAGATTCTGGAGAAGTTCATCAAAGCTGTATTTTCTTTCTCTGTTCTTGGTGCTCATGCTCTCCTGGGGCCCTGAGGTGTGATCATTTTGCCTCTTGGGTAAGCCAGTCCTGGCAGGTGCTGCCCTCTCCTCTCTCTATATGCCCAATTCCTGGCTCAATGCCTTGCACACAGCAGGACCTGCTCAGCCCAGAAGGATGAGTGTGGATACACTTGATGCAGAACCCAAGGGGTCAGTGCCCCAGGAGGCAGCCTGGTAAAGGGAGGAGCACAGCTTTATCCATTAGGATAATGGTTCCGAATTGAGCTCTACCTTTGTCTCACTGTGTGACCTTGGCTAAGGCATTTCCCTTTCTGGGTGAGTTTCCACAGCTGTGAAACGAGAAGGGTGAATTCAAATGCCTTCCAGTTCCAACAGCCTGTAGTGCAATTTGTGTGTGAGCTCTCTATCACTTCTGTACACACTGAACTCCCTCTATCCTGGCCAAGCACATTAACTAGAAGATTAATAATGGAGTTCATCTCTTTGTTGGAGGCATCATTTAGAATTTGCTATAACATATTTTGCTAATGATTCACAAGGGTATAATGAATATAAGAGTCATTGCAGAGTAGACCCTCCGGTCTCCGTCCCTTATCCCCTCTCAGTTGGGTGAAATCCTGCTCATAAGCCCTGAATGATATGCTCCCTCCTCTGTGCTCCCATCCTACTCCTGCCATAACCATAGCAGAGCAGCTGTGTGGCTACCACCCCCGACACTTCCCCACATCTGCCAACAAACAGACAACCCCAGTAGGTCACAGCCCTGCCCAATCCACTCCAGGCAGCACTACCAGCCATCTAGATCTGCCACCCTAGCCAGCCACAGTGGATCAGAGATCGTTACTATGACTGTGGCACTGAGTCCCTTAAGTAAGAAAGGGTGTGGGCCAGGTGTGGTGGCTCACACCTGTAATCCCAGCACTTTGGGAGGCTGAGGCAGGTGGATCACTAGGTCAGGAGTTCGAGACAAGCCTGACCAACATGGTGAAACTCCATCTCTACTAAGAATACAAAAATTAGCCAGGCGTGGTGGTGTGCACCTGTAATCCCAGCTACTTGGGAGGCTGAGGCAGGAGAATCACTTGAATCCTGGAGACAAAGGTTGCAGTGAGCCAAGATCATGCCATTGCCTATGCTCAGCCTGGGCAACAGAGCGAGACTCTGTCTCAAAAAAAAAAAAAAAAAAGAGCCGGGCGCGGTGGCTCAAGCCTGTAATCCCAGCACTTTGGGAGGCTGAGGCGGGTGGATCATGAGGTCAAGAGATCAAGACCATCCTTGGTCAATATGGTGAAACCCCGTCTCTACTAAAAATACGAAAAATTAGCTGGGCATGGGTGGCGTGTGCCTGTAATCCCAGCTGCTCAGGAGGCTGAGGCAGGAGAATTGCCTGAACCCAGGAGGCGGAGGTTGCGGTTAGCCGAGATCGCGCCATTGCACTCCAGCCTGGGTAACAAGAACGAAACTCCGTCCCAAAAAAAAAAAGAGAGAGAAATGGTGTCTTAGGCATCTTTATGCCACCAACCTATAGCACAGGGCCAGCCTATGGCACATGCTGGTGAAGCACCTGCTGGATGAACACTAGATACCTTCTCATCTTTGGCCCACATGCCCCTCCAGCACAGTGGGAGTCAGATGTGGACACAGGTGAGAAGCCAGAGCCTAGAAGGTAGCAAGTTTTGCATCCTGGTCAGGATCCCAGAACCTCATAGACACAGTACCTTGTCTTTGACACTGTGGTCACAGCCAGAGCCCACGAGGAAGTCCAGAGCATCCAGCTGCCCGTGCTCAGCTGCCCTGTGAAATGCTGTCCTCCCCAGCTGGCCAGAAGGAGACAGGGTGTGAACTTCCCTTGCTCTGTCAGTGGGCATACTTGCCTCTGCCCACCTGCCCTCTGTTCCCCAACCATTCTGGCCTTGCAGTGGCCTCTCCTGCCCCAGATACTGTCCTCTCCCTTTGCCTCCCCACACCCTCCTTAGAAAGCCCAGACCCAACTTCCCAGCAAGAGCCACTTGGTGGGGTCACTCCTTGCAGCCTAATGAATAAATAGATTCCTGAGAATAGGGGTTAAGATCTCCAGAGGGACCCCCAACTACCCATCAGACTTTCCCTCCTAAGATTACAGTCCCTCGAACTCACACTAGAGCCTATTCCTGTCCCTAAAGCTCCCACAAGCCTCACTCTTCCACTTGGTGCCCCCTCCAACCCCTGATTTCCTATCTTACCCACAAATCCAGTTTATTTACCAAATGTTACCTCCTCCAGGAAGCAAAAGCAATGCCTCCCTTTTCTAACCCATCTAATCCTTGATCAGGGCATCTCTGTGGCAGCTGAATGTGTTCTGCTTGTATTTTGCTCATTTGCACCCCCAACACCTCTTCCCAACCGATGACTCCCCAGGCCAGGTGCAGTCTGCCCACAGATCAAAGGATGCACCCGAGGAATGTGGTAAGCCCAGTGGGCAAGAGTGGCCCCAGGAGCCCTCCCCACAATGGGACTGATGAGTAGCCCTGAGACGCTCTCACCTTGTCTACGTGGTCCAGGTCCACATCCTCCAGGTCCTCCATTATGAATGCCAGCACAGGCACGTGGCCTTTTTGGGCTGCGCAGTGCAGTAAGGTCAGGCCATCCTGGAAACAAGTGCAGGATGGTCCCTGCAGTCTGCGAAGGGAGGCCCTTCTCACACACTGCTAGTCTCCCAAACAGCAAGTGTTTGAGACCCAGAGCACAGCCTCCACATGAATTCAACACTGTAAATGATGAATGGCCCCAGGGGTAACCCACTCTGCTGCCCACTGAGCCTGAGAGGGGCTGGCAGGAGTTGGGATGCCGAAGTTCAAATCTCAGCTCTAGCACTCCTCAGCTCTGCAGTCTTGGGTCAGTTACTGCCACCTCTCTGAGCCTCCATTTTTTTTTTTTTTTTTTTTTTTTTTTTTTGAGACAGTCTTGCTGTGGCCCAATCTTGGCTCACTGCAACCTCCGACTCCCTGGTTCAAGCGATTCTCCTGCCTCAGCCTTCCGAGTAATGGGACTACAGGTGTGCGCCACCATGCCCAGCTAATTTTTGTATTTTTAGGAGAGTCAGGGTTTCACGATGTTGGCCAGGATGATCTCAATCTCTTGACTTCATGATCCACCCACCTCTGCCTCCCAAAGTGCTGGAATTACAGGTGTGAGCCACCATGCTCAGTCTGAGCTTCTATTTTCACATGGGACAAACTAGCATCATAATCCCTGACCACCTCAGTGGGTGGTTGGGAGGACTGGACCTAAAGGAAAAATATTTTATCATCTGCAAATTAATTCAAACATGTACAGAGTGGTCATATATAGCACTAGTAGCCTCCAGAACAGTTAAGAAGGTTCTAGACATCTGCCTCCCTTGATACAGCTGCTAATGAAGAAGCAGGTGACTAAGTGACCAGTGTATGTCACCAGGAAGTGACCTCCTAACCTTCTAGGGAAGATTAAGAGCAGATATGTGCCAGTTGCAGTGGCTCATGCCTGTAATCTCAGCACTTAGGGAGGCTAAGGCGGGCAGATCACCTGAGGTCAAGAGTTCAAGACTAGCCTGGCCAGCATGGTGAGACCCCATCTCTACTAAAATTACAAAAATTAGCCAGGTGTGGTGACAGGTGCCTGTAATCCCATCTATTTGGGAGGCTGAGGTGGGAGACTTGCTTGAACCCAGGAGGTGGAGGTTGCAGTGAGCCAAGATTGTGCCACTGCACTCTAGCCTGGGAGACAGATCGAAACTCCATCAAAAAAAAAAAAAAAAAAAAGCAAATGTGGTCTGCAGGGAGTAGAGGCTCCAAAGCGGCCTAGGTTGGGAGGTAGACAGGAAGAAGGTCTCTGGAGCCTAGAAGCAACAGGAGGGAAGCTTGCAAATCCTGTTTATGTCCCAGAGCTTCTACTACTGCTTTACATTAAGGTCAGATTATGTGAAGGCGTTTTTGCAACCCATCCATGGGTCATAAAATCAGTAGAACAGTGTTTCACATCTTGACAGTGGTCCAATCTCAGTGAGTATAAATTTTCAATGTGTGTCTTTCATGTCGGGATCATGGACCCCCTGATATGAAGGGATGAGAAAGGGACTTCCCTCTTGTGTTCTTCCCAGATTCTATAGCCCTGGACTGATGATTTTCATGAGGAAAACATGAGACAAACCCAAACTGAAGGAAATTCTATGAAATACTTGACTACTACTCTCCAAAAGGGTTAAGGTCATAGAAAACAAGGAAAAACTAAGAAATCATCACAAAATTAGAAGAGACTAAGGAGACAAGATGACTAAAGCATTGTAGAATATGAATGGAAAAACTGCTGAAATCTTTTTTTTTTTTTTTTTTTTGAGGCAGAGTCTTGCCCTGTCACCCAGGCTGGAGTGCAGTGGTGTGATCTTGGCTCACTGCAACCTCTGCCTCCTTGGTCCAAGCGATTCTCCTGCCTCAGCCTCCAAGTAGCTAGGACAACAGGTGTGTGCCACCACGCCCAGCTAATTTTTGTATTTTTAATAGAGACAGGGTTTCACCATGTTGACCAGGATAGTCTTGATCTCTTGACCTCATGATCCGCCTGCCTCAGCCTCCCGAGGGATTATAGGCTTGAGCCACAGTGCCCGGCCTGAAATCTTATTATAGTCTGTAGTTTAGTAAAACTGTAAATATCACCAATGCCTGGCAAGGTAGAGCTATGTGAACAGCAGGAAAAGGCGAAAGCTTCAGGGCAGAAGCAGGAATGGGCCTGTGGGGTAAATCCCTTTGGGCAAGACCTTGAACAAGAGATTGAAAGGAAGAATGGGGTCTATCATTTGCAAAGCTGGCTTCATCTATCCCCCCTGCCCTTGGAACTGCACCCCAGGATTGCGCTACTCTTCTTACCAAGAATCTACTGGTCCTGCGACAGGCTTTTGAATGCAATGGGAGTGATACCATGTGGCTTTCCAGCCTTGGCCTCTAGAACCCTTGCCAATTCCACTCTGGCTCTTTTGCTGCCCTGAGGCAGCCACGTAAGGAAGTCTGTGCTAGCCTTCCCAAGGATTAGTGGCCACCTGGAGAAACCAGCCACACCATCCCAGACGTTCCAACCCTTCGTGCAGAGGCTCCAGACACATGAGTGAGACCCTCCAGGACCAGCCCAACCACCTGCTGACTGCAGCCTTGTAGGTGAGCCCAGGTAAAGCCAGAGGAACTGCCAGCCAACCACAGAATTGTGGAAAATAATATATAGTTACTTTCAGATTCGATACTTTTAAGTTTTAGAGTAATTTGTTACCGAAAATAGAAAACGAATATAGAGGGAATCTGCTTATCTAGAAGAGTCCATGACTTAGAACCTCGCCTGCCGTATACATCCAAGACTCCACCTCCCTCATTCTAGAACATGGAGGCTCATTCATGCTCCATTTACAGCCACTGGATTCCCCAAGGCCACTGAGCCCTTCCAAGGACAAGCCAGGCCAGGCCAGCAGGACCAGACAGCAGAACCCTGGGCTTGAACCTGGGTGTGTTCACAGGGTGCCCTCCTGCTGGCCCCTCTTCCCACACTCCAGCTCAGATCTTATGACCCATGGCATAGGGGCATGCTTCCCTGGGATGGATTTTCCAACTCAAACACTTTCAGGGGCACTCCCACCACTGCCAGCAGGATCCTAACAATGACATGAGACAGACCTCTTACATGCCACAACGCTTTTACATCTGATGAAACCTATAGGCCCCTTCTCGGAATATTTACTTAAATACAAAAAATAAATTATACAAGAAAAAATTGTTGATCAAATACACAGGCTTACGGTGGTGTTATTAGTTTCATATTGCTGCTATAACAAATTACCATAAACTTCATGGCATAAAAGAGCACAAGTTGATTATTTTACAATACTGGTGGTCAGAAGTCTAAATTGGGTTGGCTTTCTTCTGGATGCTTTTGGGGAGAATCTGTTTCCAGGCGTTTATTAGATTCTAGAAGCTGCCCATATTCCTTGGCTAGTGGCTCGCATGACTCCAACCCCAGCTTCCTTCATCAAACCTCACACACATCCCATCATATCCAACAAACTCCTGTTGGCATATTAGGTTCTAGAGGTTCAGAGGTTTTAGGGATTAGGATATGGATATCTTTAGCGTTCCATTATTCTGCCTACCTGTAAAAGGAAACCAATTATATTGAAATTAAGTTATCAAAATACTACAAACCAAGTTTTCAATCCAGTAACACATGTACTTCCTTACTGACCAGTTAAGCAACAAGATCTAGTGAAGGATCTGATAACCTCCATAATTTCAAAGTAATGATAAGTATACAGGAGTATTTTAAGATAACTGCAAAAACTTCCATGTAATATGAAACTAGCTACATTTTATATTAGTTACAAAATCACAAGTACTAATACAGCCTACATTCATCATTGAAAAAAATGCTAAATTTTCAAGAAGTTAGTGAAAATAAATATGCAGCTTTTTTTCCAATCCAAGTTCATAGGTCCCCTGAATTTTCTCCAAGAACTCAAGTGAGAACTCCTGGCTGAAGGGATTTGGCCCAGAAATGTTTGCATTTTCCCATGGGCCACCGACACCCTAAAAGGTGAGACACCTGTGGTGGGATTCCAGGCACTCTCACTTGCTGGGGCCCTGCTCCCTCAAACCACAGGACACACTGGTGAGCAGCAAGCAGATGTCAGGCTCCTAATGTGCCCTTGTTCTCCCACAGCTCTGAGGTGGGTACCAGCATCCCCCTTTCCACAGGTGAACACTGAGGCTCCAGGTGACAGAGTAACTCGCCCACCATACCACACTTGGTAAATGATGCTTTGCTCCTTTTACCCCACCTCGCTGAGCACCAGGCGTGCAGGGTCTGGCAGGAGGGTGGAGGAGATCCCACCTCCTTCTCATTTAATTTTCCTAACTACCCTCTGAGGGAGTTACTTTGATTCCTCTCTTGTCAATAAGGAGGCCGGCCAGAGGGCTGGGGACTGTCCCAACTCACCAAGCAGTAAAGGGAGGATGGGAGAGAGCAGAAGAAAGATGGACAGGCAGAGGCAGGTGGGGAGGCTGGATGGACAAGCTGGGGTGGGATACAGAGGTGGAGGCAGACCGTGCATCTGGGGCCGGGGGAGCTGAGGGGACGAGGGGCTGCCTGCAGAGGCCTTACCTTGCTCTCACAGTGGATCTTGGCCCCCGAGTTGACCAGGATCTGGAGGATCCGTAAGTGGCCAAACCAGGCAGACAGGAGAAGTGCATTCATGCCAAACTGGGGGAAAGGACATAGAAGAAATGAGAAGAATGTGGAGAGGTGTGGTCGTGCCAGCTAGGCCTGTGCCTTATGACTAAACCACACAACCAGAAGGGACTGTAAGTGCCACTCAGTCCAGGGAGCTCCAAGCTTTAGGAATTTAAAGACCAGGACTTTTTTTTTTTTTTTTTTTTTAAATAGAGGCTGATGTACTGCTGCAAACTTTTTGAATTTATTTTTTGCTAAATGAAACTTAAAAATAAAACAGGTGCCAGCTATGCTCAGTGGCTCATGCCTATAATCCCAGCACTTTGGGAGGCTGAGATGGGAGGATCAGATGAGGTCAGGAGTTCGAGAACAGCCTGGCCAACAAGGGGAAACCCTGTCTCTACTAAAAACACAAAAATTATCTGGGCATAGTAGTGCGTGCCTCTAATCCCAGCTACTTGGGAGGTTGAGGCAGGAAAACTGCTGAATCCAGGAAACAGAGGTTGCAGTGAGTCAAGATCACGCCACTGCACTCCAGCCTGAGGGACAAAGCCAGACTTTGTATCAAAAAATTTTATTTAATATTTTAAGAAATGTCTGCCATTTACTCTCATCATCATTTCATAAAGAAAGGCTATTTTAAAAGGAAAAATTTGTAAGGAACCAATCTTAGAATATTTTCTTGACAAATAAAATGCCATAACTGGGCATGGTGATTCACAACTATAATCCCAACACTCTGAAATGAGAATCACTTGAGCCCAGGAGTTTGAAACCAGACTGGGCAAAATACAGGGACCCTATCTCTACAGACATTTAAAAAAAAAATAAGCCAGTCATGGTGGCACACCCCTGTGGTCCCAGCTACTTGGGAGGCTGAGGTGGAAGGATCACTTGAGCCCAGAAGGTAGAGGCTGCAATGAGCTGTGATCCTACCACTGTACTTCCAGCCTTGGTGACAGAGCAAAACCCTGTCTCAAAAACAAACAAACGAAAAACAAATGTAGCTTCATGAAAAATTCATTGTCTTTGTTTTCTGGTTTGCTATGACTGGTGAAGACCTTATCCTGGACTGGTATTTAAGAACGAACTGTTTAAATCTCCCATAGAGGCCAGGCATAGTGGCTCATGCCTGTAATCGCAGCACTTTGGGAGGGGCCAATGTGGGAGGATTGCTTAAGCAGGAGTTCAAGACCAGCCTGGGCAACATAGTGAGACCTATTGCTACAAAAACATTAGCTGGGCATGGTGGTTCGTGTCTGTAGTCCCAGCTACTTGGGAGGCTGAGGTGAGAGATCATTTGAACCCGGGAGGCAAAGGTTGCAGTGAGCCAAAATTGTACCACTGCAGCCCAGCCTGGCGATGGAGCAAAAGCCTGTCTCAAAAATAAATATCCCATAGAATATCTTCAAGGCAGATTAGCTTAAATCTGCAGCACCACACCACCTCATGAGACACCACTGCACAGTCAAACACTGGCTTCTGTTAGAAATGCCTCCTCAGCCAGGTGCAGTGGCTCACACCTGGCAGTAATCCCAGCCCTTTGGGAGGCTGAGGCAAGCAGATCACCTGAGGTCATGAGTTCGAGACCAGCCTGACCAACATGGAGAAATCCTGTCTCTACAAAAATACAAAATTAGCTGGGTATGGTGGCATGCACCTGCAATCCCAGCTACTCAGGAGGTTAAGGCAGGAGAATCACTGGAACCCAGGAGGCAGAAGTTGCCATGAGCCGAGATCGCGCCATTGCACTCCAGCCTGGGGAACAAGAGTGAAACTCCGTCTCAAAAAAGAAAAACAAATGCTCTATTGAAATCTGAACTCCTGCAATTTCCATCCCACCAACCCTCTGGAGCAACTGAAAATATATTGATGCCTCCACTAAGGGCAGCCCCACGCCTGTCTGCAGGATGCTCCTCCTTAACATCTGCACGGTGTTCCAGGGTCCCCAGAGCCTCTTTGATGACCTTCACTGTAGGAGGGCTCTGCACTCGCCCCCACCTCCCTGGAGTCTTTTCTTCTCCTGTAAAGAGCACCCCCAGGCCTCCAAACTCAGCTCCAGTGATACATCAAGAGTCAGCCCGATCCTGGAAATGGCTTTTTGCAGTGCCTCCTTGGGTGTGGCTCCACTAGAAGCCTTTGTGAGGGGTACCAGGAAAAGAGGTCTTAGTGGCTGGCCCCAGAATTCCTCTTAGGGAGGAAACTGTGTTTGGGTAAAAGCCTTGACAAAGGGTTGAGATAAAAGGTGAAACCCCAGAGGGGACTCACTGATCAGCAGGCTCCCAAGCATCCAAAGAGAATTTCACTGCTCTACTTTAGAAACAGGTGGGAATTTAGGCCAGGCATGGTGGCTTATGACTGTAATCCCAGCACTTTGGGAGGCCGAGGTGGGCGGATCACCCGAGGTTGGGAGTTCAACATCAGCTTGACCAACATGGAGAAACCCTGTTTCTACTAAAAAAAAAAAAAAAAAAAAAATACAAAAAAAAATTTTTTTAAAGGCAAGAATATGGAGGCAGGAGGGAAGCAGTGCAGACAAGGACAGCACTGGAGAGAGGAGGGGAGCAGAGGCTGGGGCCAAGACAAGGAAAGGACCCAGGGCCGTTAAAGAACAGAATGTCAAAGAAGGGATTTTAGGATTTTTACACTGTTTTCATGTGTGACGTAGGTCCCCTCTATTTCCCAGTTTGGAAAGCCATCCCACACCACAAGCCTTGTGTAAATGGAGTCCCTGGAAACCATGTTTGGGATGACGCCAGGATGGAGTCAAAGGACGATCTGCAAAGTTTCAAGAAGACACCAAAAGTTGACCAGAAGCTGGAAGGCAGAGCCAGCAGGGACCACAAGAATTTAAGTTCTTCCTCCTGAAATCCTAGGGAAGGTGTCGGACCCAGCATAGAGCTTCAAATAAGGGTCTATCACCCAAGATGGGGGTGTATTTTTTTTAATTAAAAATAATATAACAACAACAACAACAACAAAAATGAGGGTGTACAGCTGGCCTTAAGAAGAGCCAAAGAGGCCAGGAGACCCGGCACTGGCTCAGAGCTCAGCTCCTGCTAAAAAATCAGTAACTGTGGGCTGGGTGCAGGAGGGAGGAAAAAGAACCAGCACAGACAGAGTCCAGAGGGAGGAAAATAAAAAGAGTGAAGGCTCAGGACTGGGGGAGGGAGAGCCATGGGAGCCAGAGCCTCCTGACAGCGGGGTCTCCCAGGATACATCACAGTCCTAAACCAGCTTTCCCCACATACATAGTTCCTAAGAACTGTCCAGGTCAGAGTCCTGTGGCCTATCACCAGAGACCTTCCTCCAACAACAGGATGTCCCTTCTCCAGCACCTCCTGAACCCCGTGACTACAGCAGGCAAGCCCACCAGGCTGTCTTATTTTTCAAAATGTTATTGATTGCCATTTGCAAAAGAAATAGAATTCTTCTTACTAAACTCCTGAAGGAGAATTCTTATTTTTTTGTTTGTTTGTTTGTTTTTTGTTTTTTTGAGATGGAGTCTCATTCTGTAGCCCAGGCTGGAGTGCAGTGGCACAATCTCAGCTTACTTCAACCTCTACCTCCAGGGTCCTGATTCAAGCAATTCTCCTACCTCAGCCTCCCAAGTAGCTGGGATTACAGGCACGAGCCACTATGCCCAGCTAATTTTTGTATTTTTTTTTTTTTTTTTTTTTTGAGACGGAGTTTCGCTCTTGTTACCCAGGCTGGAGTGCAATGGCGCGATCTCAGCTCACCGCAACCTCCACCTCCTGGGTTCAGGCAATTCTCCTGCCTCAGCCTCCTGAGGAGCTGGGATTACAGGCACGTGCCACCATGCCCAGCTAATTTTTTGTATTTTTAGTAGAGACGGGTTTTCACCATGTTGACCAGGATGGTCTCGATCTCTTGACCTCGTGATCCACCCGCCTCGGCCTCCCAAAGTGCTGGGATTACAGGCTTGAGCCACCGTGCCCGGCATTTTTGTATTTTTTTTTAGTAGAGATGGGGTTTCACCATGTTGGCCAGTCTGGTCTTGAACTCCTGACCTTGTGATCCGCCCACTTCAGCCTCCTAAAGTGCTGGGATTACAGGCATATACCACCACACCCGGCTAATTTTTGTATTTTTAATAGTGACGGGGTGAAACCATGTTAGCCAGGCTGGCCTTGAACTCTTGACCTCAGGTGATCTCCCGCCTTGGCCTCCCAAAATGCTGGGATTACTGGTGTGAGCCACCACGCCCGGCCAACAGAGAGGATTTCTAAAAGGGCCCCCTCTTATTGTTCTTCCTTATAGCATCTTTTCTTACTAAACCCCTGAAGGAAGATATAACAGCACAGTGGTGATAGTGAGGGTCTTTGTGGGTATAAATAGTTGATGCAAGAGGCACTAGTGTTTCACCAAGGAGTTCAGACTAAGGATCCTAGACATCTTCTCCTAAAGGCATTCGCTAAATAAGGCCTAACAGGTACAGGGAGGAGACAGGATTGAGGAATGGGGAGGTAAGGGTTGTTGCTTCACCTCAATCCCAACTAGTAATCCAGCCCCCACATGGTGGGGCCTGGGAGCAGAGAGAAGCCAGAACAAAGAAAACTGTTTCTGTGGACCGTTAAGTCACTGCAGGGAGGTTTATCTATTTATTTATTTACTATTTATTTTTGAGATGGAGTCTTGCTCTGCCCCCCAGGCTGGAGTGCAGTGGTACCACCTCAGCTCACTGCAACCTCCGCTTCCCGGGTTCAAGTGATTCTCCTTCCTCAGCCTCCCAAGTAGCTGGGACTACCGGCGCATGCCACCATGCCTGGCTAATTTTTAGTATTTTTAGTAGAGACAGGGTTTCACTGTGTTAGCCAGGATGGTCTTGATCTGTTGACCTCGTGATCTGCCCGCCTCAGCCTCCCAAAGTGCTGGGATTACAGGCGTGAGCCACCGAACCTGACCAGTTTTTTTTATTTTAAAATTTTTGTCTATTTATTTAGACACCAGGTTATAACATTGGCTAATTTTTGTATTTTTCGTACAGAGTTTGGCTATGTTGCCCAGGCTTCTCTCCAACTCTTGGGCTCAGGTGATCCACCTACTTGGCCTCCCAAAGTGCTGAGATTACAGGCGTGAGCCACAGCACCCAGCATTTTTCAAATTTAAATTTAGTCAAAGCTGTAAGTATATCCCTTTCAAATGTCATTTTTAGATTCAGCCCATTTCCCAAACCTGTAGAAATAATTTTGTAGACCCCATTACTCTTCAGTGCTCTCTCTCAGCAATACATTGCCTGCCAGTTGGTTAACTAAAACTATTAGTCTTTTTTTTTTTTTTTTTTTCTGAGACAGAGTTTCGCTCTTGTTACCCAGGCTGGAGTGCAATGGCACGATCTCGGCTCACCGCAACCTCCGCCTCCTGGGTTCAGGCAATTCTCCTGCCTCAGCCTCCTGAGTAGCTGGGATTACAGGCACGTGCCACCATGCCCAGCTAATTTTTTGTATTTTTAGTAGAGACGGGGTTTCACTATGTTGACCGGGATGGTCTCGATCTCTTGACCTCGTGATCCACCCGCCTCGGCCTCCCAAAGTGCTGGGATTACAGGCTTGAGCCACCGTGCCCGGCCTAAAACTATTAGTCTTTATCCAAGACTTTGAAGTGTTAGCCAGGGCAGAGCCCCGCAGCATATCATGAGAAACTTTCCTCCTGGAGCCTTTGCTAATCAGGCCTCTATCAATCCACCCAATTATCTGTTCTACAGCCCTTTCCCTGTTCACATGGCATCATGAGGGACTGAAAAGGCTCAGATAACCAGAAGGCCCTTGAGAGTGGAAAGCTTTTCATTAATGTACAGGAGGAAAGCAGAATCAGTGCAGTGTCCCTGGCGCCTGAACTCTTTGACTCCCTGCCACTCTGCACCTGAATGTCTGCATCTTGGCAACAATCTCAGCAACCGGCTCATAGACCCAGAGAGACCTCCAGTGCCCCCCACCACCTGAGACAGACAGAAAGACACACACACACAGACGTGCCTCCGTGAGGGCCCCTACCGCATCCTCCTCGTCCACAGCAGCCTCGTGCTCCAGGAGCAGACGCACAGCCTGCTCGTGCCCTGAACCTGCAGCCCAGTGCAGGGCTACCCTGCCAACCTGCCCGGAGGGAGATGACACTTGTCAGGTGCAGCTGCCACCTGGCTGCCTGGACCACCTCCCACACCCTACCCCAGGACAGCTGCTCTGCAGGCTGGAAGGGTCTTTGCTGGCTCTGGTGACCAGCTGGTTGGGAACGCAGCCCCATCCTGCCCCATGCTCCTCTCCAACCTGGCCACCAAGGCTGCTAACATAGTAAAATGACTGGACCCATCAGTCCCCACCTCAAACTCTTCACAGTTTCCCGTGGCTTTCAGGATAAACTCTTAACCCGGGGGATGCTGAGGCTCTGCATGCTCTGGTGCTGCCCACCACTGCTTCACAGAAATGTCAAGCAGCTTCCCGCCTCTAGGCCTTTTCCTGCTGTTCTCCCTGCTGGGCAGCCAGCCCTGTGTGGCCAAGGATTATCCTCCAAGTCCCTGAGAGGCACCAGAGTGCCTGGGTTCTGTCCCCTTCTGTCTCTCAGAACAGGGCTGAAGGGGCCTGATGCCCCACCTCATTCTCAGGCAGTTCATCACATCATCCAAGTAGGCTGGGGAGAAGCCAGCCTGTGTCCCCTGTGCTCGCTTCTCCTGTCTGTAGTTTTCACCTTATGAGGGGACAATGAAAGGAAGCACTAGTTTTCTGTGTGGTCTCCGGCAAGCCACATCCCCTCTCTGGAGCCCAGCTGTTCCTTCCTTCCTCAGGGCTTCTGCCCAGGCCATTCCCTCTGCCTGGAATACCACCCTTCACCTGGCTCCACAAAAATGCCACTTTCAGCAGGGTGAGGTGGCTCACACCTGTAATCCCAGCACTTTGGGAGGCCGAGGTGGGAGCACCATTTGAGTCCAGGAGTTTGAGACCAGCCCAAGCAACATAGCAAGACCCCTATCTCTAGGAAAAATACAAAAATTAGCCTGGCATGGTGGTGCGTGCCTGTAGTCTCAGCTACTGGGGAGGCTGAGGTGGGAGGATCACCTGAGCCCTGGAAGGTCAAGGCTGCAGTAAGCTGTGATTGCTCCACTGCACTCCAGCCTGGGCGACGTGAGTTCCTGTCTCAAGAAAAAGAAAAAAAGCCACTTTCTGCTGAGCGCGGTGGCTCACACCTGTAATCCCAGCACTTTGGGAGGCTGAGGTGAGCGGATCACCTGTGGTCTGGAGTTTGAGACCAGCCTGACCAACATGGGGAAACCCCATCTCCACTAAAATTCAAAATTAGCCAGGCCTGGTGGCACTTGCCTGTAATCCCAGCTACTCAGGAGGCTGAGGCAGGAGAATTGCTTGAACCTGGGAGGCAGAGGTTGTGGTGAGCCAAGACCACACCATTACACTCCAGCCTGGGCAACAAGAGCAAAACTCCATCTAAAAGAAAAAAGAGAAAGAAAAAAAAGCCGCCTCCTTGGGAGGCTTTTCCTCACCCTCCTGCACACACTCTTATGACAACTTGTCACAGAGGGAATGAAAAGTGTGTGGGATGCTTTGTGTAATGTCTCTCCTCCGATTTTGCCCATCTGCCAACTTCTGGCTACTGACCTTTGACCCTGGCCCTCCTGTCTCTAACCTCCCTTTCTTGGGTATACCTCTCAGATGGGTCCCAGAAGTTAATAGTGTGACCTCTGGAATTGCTCAAGCCTGGCTTGGAATCCTGATCCTGACCTTGGGTGGGACCCAACCACTCTAAGCCTCAGATTCCTGGAGACAATGCAGGCCCTGAGGACAGAGCCTGAGCCTCTGTGCAAGTTAACACAGCCAATGTGCCTTCCTGTAGCTCAAATGAACTGTTCAATGTACTGGCATTATCATGACACTATCCCAGGTGTCAGGATTCAGAGCCCATTACGCACGTGGTTTCTGGCCCTGGTGTTAACCCTCCTCCCAATCAACTCCTGCATCCTGCTGACGTTGTTCCGACGGGCGGCCTCATGGAGCTGCCTCTCCAGAGGAAGCACTGGGGGGAGAAAATGGGGTGCAGGATGAGGGGAAGGATCCCCCACACTGCGGACAGGAGAGGTAAACAGTCCATTCCCACTCCTGAACATTTCCGCGGTAGGGGTCTTTCAACTGAAAACGGGGGCAGAGCGGCATGGCCCTCCTCTCTCTCAAGGTCAGGGTCCTCCCCAGACAGGCTGCTCTTCCTCACTAACTCACCCCGCAGCCACGCAAGATGAGAGAGGAGAGAAAGGCCATCCACAGCAGCATAAATATGTGCCCCATTATCCAAGTTTCATGTGCCCTCCCGAGAGCTGTTTCTTGGGGAAGGAATAAAACGAACTCCCTCTGGAGTCAGTAACCACCTTTTCCACAGTGCAGTCTAGTGTAGAAAACAGCCAGGATTTACTGAGCTACCTAATGCATGCCAGTGCTGAGTGAGGCCAGAGGCATGTTCACCCTACTTCTGTGCCTTCCATCTCCTTGTTCCTCTACCCCTTCTTCCAACCCCTCTGTCACCCAGGCAGGAGTGCAGTGGCATAATCTTACCTCACTGCAACCTCTGCCTCCCGATTTCACAGTATTCACCCACCTCAGCCTACTCAGTAGCTGGGATTACAACCATACATAACCAGCCACCACGCCTGGTTAATTTTTATATTTTTAGCAGAGACAGGGTTTCACCATGTTGGCCAGGCTGGTCCCCAACTCCTGACCTCAAGTGATCTGCCTGCCTCAGCCTCCCAACATGCTGGGAGGCTCTTCCAACCTCTCTTGCCCAAATCCTAACCAGCTTTCACCTTCCCATGCTGAGGCCACCGTGATTTTCCTTCTCTGTGGTCTCTCTCTTCTCTGTGCTCCTCTCACCCCCATCGCTGTACCTTTAGCACAGAGTGTCAGACTAAAGGGAACCTCAGAGCTCCCCCTGCTAACCCTTAACACATTTCTGTGGGTTCGAGGTCAGACTGCAGGTTATGTCTGAGCCAGAAGGACCCAGGCCAGATTGCATCCCACTGGAGCCCCATGCTACCGTCATCCTGACAGCTCTTGATTGTGAGGATGTCTAGTCTTCATCCTCATATCTTTTCATGTCTCATTTCTAATCATTATGTTAGAATGACAGATCAGGAAGGGTCAAGTATGGTCAGGGCCTCCAACATGGTTGGGCTAGACCCCAACCATGTTGGAGGCCCTGACCATACTTGAACCTTCCTCATCCACCCACAGCTCACAGCAGGCCCAAAGGTGGGCACAGGGAGAAACCCACAAAACTCTGCTTCTGAGCCAGACATGGTGGCTCAGGCATGCAATCCCAGCACTTTGGGAGTCCAAGACAGGAGGATTGCTTGAAGCCAGGAGTTCAAGACCAGCCCGGGCTACAAAGCAAAACCCCCAGCTCTACAAAAAAAAAAAGTTTAAAAAAAAATTATCCAGGTGTAGTGGCACTTGCCTGTAGTCATAGCTACTCAGGAGGCTGAGGCAAAAGGATTCTTTGAGCCCAGTGGTGCAATTATAGCTGCCAATAAGCTATAATTGCACCACTGCGCTCCAGCCTGGGCAACAGAATGAGACCCTGTCTCTGAAAAGAAAATAAAAACAGGCCAGGCACAGTGGCTCATGCCTGTAATCCCAACACTTTGGGAGGCCAAGACAGGCCAGTCACCAGAGGTCAGGAGTTTGATACCAGCCTAACCAACATGGAGAAACCCCATCTCTACTAAAAATACAAAATTAGCCAGGTGTGGTGGTGCATGCCTGTAATCCCAAGTAGCTGGGATTACAGGCATACGCCACTACAGGTGAGGCAGACTGAGGCAAGAGAATCACTTGAACCGGGAAGGCAGAGGCTGTGGTGAGCCGAGATCACACCATTGCACTCCAGCCTGGTGACAGAGCAAGACTCCATTTCAAAAAAAAAAAAAGAAGAAGAAGAAGAAGAAGAAAAGAAAAAGAAAAAGAAAGAAAGAGGTGGCACAACTGGCTTGAGCGATTGGAAACAAGATGCAGGACCCCAATGCAGACACTGAGTGGAATGACATCTTACACAAAAAGAGCATCTTACCCCCCAAGGAAAGTCTGAAAGAATTGGAAGAGGAGGCAGAAGAGGAGCAGCACATGGTCCAGCAGTCAGTCAGTGGTGACAATGTATGAAGATATGACTTTGGAAGAGGTGAAGGATCATGAAGACGAGTTTAATGAGAAGGATGAACGTGCTATTGAAATGTACAGACGGCAAGGACTGGCTGAGTGGAAAGCAACTAAACTGAAGAATAAATTTGAAGAAGTTTTGGAGATCTCAGGGAAGGATTATGTTCAAGAAGTTACCAAAGCCGGTGAGGGCTTGTGGGTCATCTTGCACCTTTACAAACAAGGAATTCCCCTCTGTGCCCTGATAAATCAGCACCTCAGTGGACTTGCCAGCAAGTTTCCTGATGTCAAGTTTATCAAAGCCATTTCAACAACCTGCATACTCAATTATCCTGATAGGAATCTGCCCACGATATTTGTTTACCTGGAAGGTGATATTAAGGCTCAGTTTATTGGCCCTCTGGTGTTTGGTGGCATGAACCTGACAAGAAATGAGTTGGAATGGAAACTGTCTGAATCCGGAGCAATTAAGATGGACTTGGAGGAAAACCCTAAGAAGATTGAAGACGTGTTGCTGTCCTCAGTGCGGCGCTCTGTCCCCATGTGGAGGGACAGCGATTCCAAGGGGGACTGAGGCTGCAGTTGCTATCACGTGCCGAACTTTCTGTGACAAATTGTCTGAATTTTTTTTTTTTTTTTTTTTTTTTGAGACGGAGTTTCGCTCTTGTTACCCAGGCTGGAGTGCAATGGCGCGATCTTGGCTCACCGCAACCTCCGCCTCCTGGGTTCAAGCAATTCTCCTGCCTCAGCCTCCTAAGTAGCTGGGATTACAGCATGTGCCACCATGCCCAGCTAAGTTTTTGTATTTTTAGTAGAGACAGGGTTTCACCATGTTGACCAGGATGGTCTCGATCTCTCGACCTCGTGATCCACCCACCTTGGCCTCCCAAAGTGCTGGGATTACAGGCTTGAGCCACGGCGCCCAGCCCTGAGTTTTTTAAAAAAGGAAAAAGCAAGAATGAATCCTTCTGATTTTTAGTTTTGTACAAATTATGTTTTAAATCTTTACATTTTGGAAATAATCATTGCTGGAAATTCTGTTAAATATTTTACAACTTTTTAAATTATAGTATTTCCTCTAAAAAAAAAAATTAAAAGCCGGGCGCGGTGGCTCAAGCCTGTAATCCCAGCACTTTGGGAGGCCGAGGCGGGTGGATCACGAGGTCGAGAGATCGAGACCATCCTGGTCAACATGGTGAAACCCCGTCTCTACTAAAAGTGCAAAAAAATTAGCTGGGCATGGTGGCACGTGCCTGTAATCCCAGCTACTCAGGAGGCTGAGGCAGGAGAATTGCCTGAGCCCAGGAGGTGGAGGTTGCGGTGAGCCGAGATCGCGCCATTGCACTCCAGCCTGGGTAACAAGGGCGAAACTCCATCTCAAAAAAAAAAAAAAAAAAAATTAAAACCAGCTCTTGGTATGGTAAAAAAAAAAAAAAAAAAAAAAAAAAAAAAAAATCTCTGCTTATACAAGCAGAGATACCACAGAGAACAAATATTTGCTGGCCCTTTGCATAGTCACTTCAGGGCAAGTGACCCCACAGCCTGCATGTTTGGTCCAGTATGAATGTCTGAACCCAGCCCCTTTTGTGTATCCAGGGACAGGTGACGAGCGTCTTGGTAGGGAAGGCTAAGAAGCACTGAGGTGGGCCGGGCGCGGTGGCTCAAGCCTGTAATCCCAGCACTTTGGGAGGCCGAGGCGGGTGGATCACGAGGTCGAGAGATCGAGACCATCCTGGTCAACATGGTGAAACCTCGTCTCTACTAAAAATACAAAAAATTAGCTGGGCATGGTGGCACGTGCCTGTAATCCCAGCTACTCAGGAGGCTGAGGCAGGAGAATTGCCTGAGCCCAGGAGGCGGAGGTTGCGGTGAGCCGAGATCGCGCCATTGCACTCCAGCCTGGGTAACAAGAGCGAAACTCCGTCTCAAAAAAAAATTAAAAAAAAATAAAAAAATAAAAAAAAAAAAGAAGCACTGAGGTGACAGACAGCCCGCCATGCAATTTGTTTTTCTGGATAAATTCCACACAGCCTTCTCCGGGTGTGAAGAGGATCTTGGTCTTTCTGGGGCTTCACAGATACAACCTGTGGACTTCAGAGTTGCTACCCCAGGGGACAATCACACAGTCCTGGGTTCAACTCTGGCTAAACCACTTTCTAGCTGTGTGACTTAGGCAGTTTCCTCATCTTTAAAACAGGGGTGTAAGCTTCCCTACAAGATTAACATAATGATTAGAAATGAGATATGAAAAGCCCCTGGCACGGTGTCTGGCACATAATGACCACACCACCACCAGCAGCACCATCACCATCACTATTATTTCTCCAAGGCAAAGGGTCAAATTCTGGTAGCCAAAAAAAGCTGCCAATTCAAGTATGTGCTTACAGAGACCTGGGTTCTAGTATCTGCCCGGCCACTTTTCAGCAGCAGGTTCCTGAGCTAGTCATATCCCCCTTGCAGGTCTGTTTCTTCCATTGTAAAATTGGGGGAGGGTGAAGAAAGAGATCTGTATAGGTCCCTTCCTATTTGGCATCCTCTATCTTAGTGGCAGCTTAGGGGGACTGGCCTGATGTGTATTGGCAAACAGCCAGGTGTCCCAGTGGGAAGCCAGCAGACACTGTGGAGAGCCAGGCCAGAGAAGGTCAAGTTAGAGTGAAATCAAGTCCAGTCTCATCTCTTCCATCCACCTCGCCCTATGCACCCTCTGCAGCCACATCCGATACCACTGAGCTGACTGAACCTTTGCCCATGCTGGGTCCTCTGCCCAGAATTCTCTGCTTACACACTGCAATGCTCTATTGCTACACTTTCTTTACAGGTCCCTGCAAGTGATCCTCTGTCCCAGGCAGAACCATGTACCTACTTTGAAATAATTAGCATATTGATGGAGCACCCTCATCCCCAACACATCCCTCAGCTGAGTAGATGCAGTATGCCAGCATTTTGGACACTATAGGTCTCAAGGGAATCCAGTGAGCTGCACTATAGGCATTTGAGGGAGAGCCCCGGGATTCAGCAGTCAGGGCTCAGCCAGGGTTCCGAATCAAGGACTCACAGTGCGTTCACCGGCACAATCCCCTCTCCCAGACAGTGCAGCCAAATCTGTCCCAGGCCAGCTGATATCCACACAGACGCTGCTGGCCGGCCTAGAGGCCCTAGCACTGGGCACACTCCTTGAGGGAGGCTCAGAGGCGCCCTCATCCCACCTGTGGCCAGTCAGGCTCCTCTTCTCTGAGAGTGTGCCCCATCCCATGTGGTCCTCCAGCCCCAGCCTTCCGGGGGAGCTGGGGCCTACAGCACTTCTACCACTCAATGGCTGTGTTACCTGGCTCAACTCATTTAAACACCCTGTGCCTCAGTTTCTCACCTGCAAAATGAAGATAACAAACTATCCTACCCATATGGCCGCAGCGAAGATCAAATAATGTGCCTCTCATGGGTCAAGGCCTGGCGCACAAACTACAGCATGCAGTCAAGGATCGCTATTATCTTTATTATTTGTAGTTAACCTCTCCTCAGCTGTTGCCCCTCCCCTCGTGCGCCCCGCTCACTTGGCGGGTGGCACCGCCGACTCCCAGATGCACAGGCTAGGTCCCCTCGCCCCGGCGCGCGGACCAGTGACCATTCCGCTCAGAACCACACAGACACCCAAATCGGAGGTGGCCATTCGGAGGGCGCCAATCTCATCCCTGGCATTCCCCGAACGGATGCGGGAGTCCTCTCAGCCTCGACCCGCCCCGTTCCCCGGCCCCACGGACTCACAGCAGTCGGTCTCGCACGCCAGCTCCTCCTGCATCCCGCCGCTACGCAGCCCCTGCGCGCTCTGGTGCTGCCGGGCGAGGCGCGCGTCCGCGGGGGCGGGGCCCAGGGAGCCGAGGGGAGGGGGCCGTCGCTCCTCCAGACCCCTCACCCTGCCTGCTAGGAGCGCAGCGGTAGCGGCCACCCCAGTCCTGGACCGGGATGCAGGTCCCTCCTCCTGCTCCCTTAACTTGGCGTTGTATTGAGAGATGATGAATGATCCATTAGAGGAAGAAAGCATTAACCAAAGGGAGGCAGGGCCAGGTTATTTTCAGGCCCCTCCGTACCCTCTAAACCAGTGGTTTCCAATCTTTTTGACACCAGGGACCAGTTTTCTGGAAGATAATTTTTCCATGGGCTGGAGTGGGGGCATTGGAATGATTTCAGGATGAAACTGTCCCAACTCAGATCATCAGGCATTAGATTCTTATATGGAGTGCAGCAACCTATCGCATGTGGGGACAACAGGATTCACGCTTCTGTAATAATCTAATGCCTCTGCTGATCTGACAAGAGGCAGAGCTCAGGCAGTAATGCCTGCTGCTCATCTCCTGCTGTGCAGCCTGGTTCCTAACAGGCCCGGTTCTTAACAGGCCACAAACCTGTACAGGTCCCGCCCAGGGGTTGGGGATCCCTGCTCTAAATTCACAGACCTTAGACTCCACCCACATCTCCCAGCACTTGTGTATCTATGTCTTTTTGAGTCCAGTCCTCGCTCTGCTGTGTGACCTCATGCAGTCACTAAATCTCTCTGACCTTCAATTTATTCATCTGTGGATGATCCTTTTTCTTTTCTTTTCTTTTCTTCTTTTCTTTTTTTTTTTTTTTTTTTTTGAGACAGAGTCTAGTTCTGTTGCCCAGGCTAGAGCGCAGCGGCATGATCTCGGCTCACTGCAACCTCTGCCTCCTGGGTTCAAGCAATTCTCCTGCCTTAGCCTCCTAAGTAGCTGGGATTGCAGGCACATGCCACCACGCCCAGCTAATTTTTATATTTTTAATAGAGACGGGGTTTCCCTGTGTTGGTCAGGCTGGTCTCGAACTCCTGCCCTCGTGATCTACCCACCTCGGCCTCCCAGAGTGCTGAGATTACAAGCGTGAGCCACCGCGAGCGGCTGGATGATCCGTTTTTAAGAGGGTTATTTCAAAATGCCTAGAGCAGTCCAAGGCACACAGTGGGTGGGTGCCCTAGTGTGGTGGTGATGATTATCCTCTGGCTCTCCACCTGCAACCTGTACTATCCCATGTAATCATACTGACAACTCTGTGATGCAAATGCTACAATATGAAAGCTCCATTTTAAAGAGGAGGCACGACAGGCTCACTGAGGTTAGCTTTTGCTCAGGGACATACAGCAAGGTGTGGAGAATTAAGAATGGCATCCAGGTGTGACTCTCTCCAAAGGAGAAACAGGTGATTTCCATGGCGCTGAACCCCGTGCTGGATCCCAGGTCAGGCCACGGCTGCAGGTGAGGTCCAACCGGGCCAGTCCACTGAGACACCCCGATTTTAGGGAGCAACTTTCCTGCCAGGAAAAAAAAAAGGAATTTGGCAGAAAGCCTCAGAAAACAGCGCAAACGGGCTGGGCGTCGTGACTCACGTCTGCAGTCCCAGCACTTTGGGAGACCAAGGCAAGTGGATCGCTTGAGCCCAAGAGTTCGAGACCAGCCTGGGCAAAATGGTGAGACACCCTCACGCACACATACGCGCACACACCCACTGTCTCTACAAAAAAAAAAAAAAAAATTAAAGAAAGAAAAGAAAAAATAGCGCAAGCATGTAATCTGATGCAGAGGACCCAGGTGAGAGGGACTAGGAGTGGGACTAGCCGGTTTCCCTGAGCCTGGCTTCTCACGTTTAGAGTCCTACCGGAACTCCGAAGGCCTCTGGGCCTCGCTGCAGTTCTGGTTGTCGACACGCGAGGGAGCCAGAGCCAGCGAAGAGCAGCTGTCGGTCAATACCGTAATTCCCTTCGGTGTGCGCATCCACGATCTGTCCCCACTACGGGCACGACAGTGACGAAGGCCAGAAGGGAGCGAGGAGGGAGAGGCTAGGGGTTACAGACTGTAGTCTAACCTGGGATGGGCTGGATCGCTGATGACAGAGGAGGCTCCGCGCAGGGAAGCAGAGTGCCCACACGCTGAGTCTCCCAACTGGCTCCTCCACGCTGGGCTTTCTGCTGCACTATTTTCGGAGACCCCCCGCCTCCCGCAAGATTGCCAGTGAGGGTACTTGAATGCTAGGCTAAGGACTTGTGCCATGGGGGCAGGGTGAGAGAGGAAGAGGCGTGGTGGCAAGGATGTAAGTAAATGTGGGGTTAAGTGGCAGTTTACTTCCCACACAGCCTCAGGCCTTTCTAATGAGGGAAAAGATGCAATAACTTATGCAAAGAAAGTAGGGAGTTACTATGGATTCCCATTAGAGGAATGAGCATTTTGAAAAGCTGCATTGACCCCTTTAAAAGGGGTCAATGTTTAACCCAAATGAACTTCTAAAGGCCTTTTTTTTTTAAGACGGAATCTTGTTCTGTCTCCAGGATGGAGTGCAGTGGCATGATCTCCGCCCACTGCAACCTCCGCCTCCCTGGTTCAAGCAATTCCCCTGGTTCAGCCTCCTGAGTAGCTGGGACTATAGGCATGTGTCACCACGCCCAGCTAATTTTTTTTTTTTTTTAATGGAGTCCAGCTCTATCACCAGGCTGAAGTGCACTGGTGGGATCTGGGCTCACTGCAACCTCCGCCTCCTGGGTTCAAGTAATTCTCCTGCCTCAGCCTCCCAAGTAGCTGGGATTACAAGCACACACCACCATGCCCAGCTAATTTTTGTATTTTTAGTAGAGACGGGGGTTTCACCATTTTGGTCAGGCTGGTCTGGAACTACTAACATTGTGATCTGCCCACCTCGGCCTCCCAAAGTGCTGAGATTACAGATGTGAGCCACAGTGCCTGGCCACACCCAGCTAATTTTTGTAGTTTTAGTAGAAACAGGATTTCACCATGTTGTCCAGGATGGTCTCCATCTCCTGACCTTGTGATCCACCCGCCTCGGCCTCCCAAAGTGCTGGGATTACAGACCTGAGCCACCACACCTGGTTCCCCCACTTTTTTTTTATTTTTTATTTTTTATTTGGAGACAGAGTCTCACTCTGTCGCTTAGGCTGTAGTGCAGTCGCATGATCTCAGCTCACTGCAACCTCCGCCTCCCAAGTTCAAGTGATTCTCCTGCCTGAGCCTCCTGAGTATCTGAGATTACAGGCACACGCCACCACACCCGGCTAATTTTTGTATTTTTAGTAGAGACAGGCTTTCACCATGTTGGTCAGGCTGTTCCCAAACTCCTGACCTCAAGTGATCCACCTGCTTTGGCCTCCCAAAGTGCTCGGATTACAGGTCCTTTTTTAACTTTTGTTTTAGGTTCAGGAGTATAAGTGCAGATTTGTTACATAGGTAAACTAGTATCATGGGGATTTGTTGTACACGTTATTTCGTCACCCAGGTACTAAGCCTAGCACCTAGTATAGATATTTCCTGCTCCTCTCCCTCCTCCTACCCTCCACCCTCTAGTAGGCCCCAGTGTGTGTTGTTTTCCTTCTTTGTGTCCATGAGTTCTCATCATTTAGCTTACACTTATAAGTGTGTTTTCTGTTCCTGTGGGTTTTTTTAGATTAACAGGCAGATGGGAGAGAGGTGTTTGCCTGGAGAAGGATGGGATGACCTGGCATTGCTGAGTTGAAGGGTGAGGCAGCTTCTATGATCTGGGTCCCAGAGCAGGGACAGTATCCAGCCTGTTGTGAAAGCCCAATGCACCAGATGTGTGACCTCTGTAAGAAGGTAACACAGCCATGTGCAGTGTCCTTGAGCATGCCACCTGCCCAGGGCTCTGCCAGCCCAGCCAGTGAGGCTCAAGGTAGGGGACAGGAGGTTGGGGGTCAGGGAGAGATGCTTGGGAAGCAAGGAGAAGAAAAATGGAAACGACATTTAAGAGCTGGGAGGTTGGAGTTGGGCAAGACCTTCATCCTCCATACTTGTTTCCTCATCTGGAAGGTGCAGATAATAACACTACCTAATGCAAAGGGCTATTGTGAGAATTAAATCAGTTGTTCTAGAAAGTGCTCTGTAACCACTACAAAGACTAGGCAGGAAACCTCTTCTGTAGAGGCCTCCCAGATTGCTCCAAACTCAAAATGCTCCTTTCCTGAGGGTTTCCAGAACCCACGGTCAAGCCTTCTGTGGTATCCCTGGCCCAGACGCAAGTAACTGTTTTGCAGCTGTCATCCCCTCCTCCAACCCCAATTAAAGCATTCTCCTGACCCCAATCCCTGCCACTCTGTGAACTTTTTTATTTATTTGTTTTGAGATAAGGTCTTACTGTGTCACCCAGGCTAGAATGCAGTACAGTGGCAAGATCATGGCTTATCACAGACTTATCTCCAGGGCTCAAGTGATCCTCCCACCTCAGGCTCCCAGGTAGCTGGGACCACAGGCCCGTGCCAACACATGCTCAGCTAATCGTTTGTTTGTTTTGTTTTGTTTTTTTCAGAAATGAGGTTTCCCTATGTTGCCCAGGCTGGTCTCGAACTCCTGGGCTCAAATGATCCTCTCACCTCAGCCTCCCAAAGTGTTGGGGTTACAGGCGTGAGTCACAGTGCCTGGCCAACTGTTAACTTTTCAAGGCAGATGTGGTAGCTAATCTGTCCCTGTACTCATTCAAAACTCAGCCTGTTAAGATTTGGCAAAATGATACTAACGTTTAAAAAAAAAAACAAAACAGTAAAAATAGACAGAAATGTTATGAAAACAAAAAGCATTGGAGGGAAAGGTGGGACCAGATATTGAAACAATTTGACAATAGCTATCAGAATTTCAGATTTTTTTTTTTTTTTTTAGATGGAATTTTGCTCTTGTTGGCCAGGCTGGAATGCAATGTCGAGACCTTGGCTCACCACAGTCTTTGCCTTCCAAGTTCAAGGGATTCCCCCTGCCTCCACCTTTCTGGATTAGCT